GATTTTTAAGCTTATCGTGATTTTCAAGCATACATGACTATTTTTATCACTCTAATCAGTAAGGCTACTATCTAGACTCGAATGCTTTCATACAAGTGAGTTTCAAAAAATAGTCAATAAAAATTGGTGTCAGTGCAGACCCAAACCCGCCCCCAGATACACTGGTCGCTAGGTCTGGGGCCAGCCCTGGAAGTGGCACTGTTACTAGGCACACAGGTGATTCTGACTCGATGGCCTGAGACGCACACCTTAAGAAGAGGCTGCTCTGGGGAGACGAAGGTATGAGTGGAAAGAGGATGGGCGAGGAGGCCGGGCTTACCTGGACACTAAGGTGATGGGCGGCGTCTGCTGGGCAGGCTTCGGGGAGGACCCCTCAGCTTTGCTCTCAGCAGGGGCCGGAGAGGCTCGGTGGGCAGTGGCAGTAACTGAGTGCCACTGGAAAGCCCATTCCCTTTACTTAAAAAACGAGCTGGCCAGGAAGCCACTACTTTGTGTCCATTTCTCCTGAGGAAACTTCTCACCATCTTGGTTGAGCAGCTTCACGGCCGACACAGCGAGCCAGCGGCCGGACTCTGTATTTCGGACCCCGCTCCAGTGCTCCCTGGATCATACCAGGATCTGCCTCTGTCCACAAAGACGAGGGAAAATGATGACTGCGCTGTGTCTCTACTTCCCGTGGTTACCGTGTGAGGCTAAAGCTGCCACTCAGAATAGTGAGTCCTATGGTGTCGAGAGCAGGAAGGGGTCGGGTGGCCAGGTGACGCCGTGGAAAGGCGTCTCGGTGGAAACTGCCGTGGTGGGAAGGTGGCGCGCTTGTCACGGCTGAGTTGCTGCGCCTGCAGACAGAAGCCCTCCACAGGCAGGGCTACTCGGACGAGTGAGTCATGAAGCCGGAGAAGCCCTGCTCCACGAGCAGTGACTTCCCAGGCAAGACTTGCAGCCAGTGCTGCGCTGGCCAGAGCCACAGGGCCTGTAGGAATCTTGGCGGCTCCACGTTTCCAGGGCAGCAGGAAATCCCAGGGGCCTGGTAGTGACACAGCAAGGTCCTCAGGGAGCCTCTGGTCTGGCCCTCATTTCCCAGGGGTAGAAAAGGAAATCTGAAATCGGATTAAACCATGCAGCAAATATTTACTGAGGCTCTGCTATGGGTCAGGCTGTTTTCTGCTGGGGGGCAGCGCTCAGGTACCCCTTCCCTCTTGGGGCTTCCCGCTTGGTAGAGGAAGGAGACGTTCAGCTTCCAGCCCATCTGTAACCAAGCTGTGCCTTGGTTGCCTCCATTCAGGCCCTGGGGGTGAGCCGAGCCTTTGGCCTGTGGCCCCAATCCTGCTGCTGGGGCTCCTCCCCACTGTGCCCTTCCCCTCCCCGCTGCAGCCTCGGTGCAGCCAGGCTCTCCTTGGTACCCAGGCCGGACAGAGTGATCTGACTTTAACTCTCTTCAGACAGACGGGAAGAGGGCCCTAGGACCAGGAGCTGGACAGAGCAGAGCTGCTCCTGTCCTGAAGCTCCAGGCCTGTTCCTTTCTGTCTGGGTCTTTCCACTGGGCTTTTCCTGCCGAAGCCGCCCAGTCTCAGCACCCCCACTCCCTTCCTCACCTAGTGCCCAGGCCCTTGGTTCAACCCTCAGAGGGCTCCGGGTGGGAAGACGCAGTTAGCTGGGGACTGAAGGACTCCATGACCCCAGGAGGGCCAACCCCTTTCTCCACCTCGGCTGCCGCTGGAGGGCCACCCTTCCAGGTTCAAGAGGTCCAACTTCATGGGATTTTTTTTTGAGACGGAGTCTTGCTCTGTCGCCCAGCCCAGGCTGGAGTGCAGTGGCGCGATCTCGGCTCACTGCAAGCTCCGCCTCCCGGGTTCACGCCATTCTCCTGCCTCAGCCTCCCAAGTAGCTGGGACTACAGGCGCCCACAACCGCGCCCGGCTAATTTTTTGTATTTTTAGTAGAGACGGGGTTTCACCGTGGTCTCAATCTCCTGACCTTGTGATCCGCCCGCCTCGGCCTCCCAAAGTGCTGGGATTACAGGCGTGAGCCACCGCGCCCGGCCTAACTTCATGGGATTTTTACCACATTTCATTAATTTTGTGGAGCAAATGTCTTCCCATTTTATAGCTCTGAAATCCACGTCTCTGACATTGCTGTTGGCAGGCGGCACCTGGGATGTCGTCATCCTGCCCATAGCTGGCCTGTGTCAGACCTGAGTGATGCACAGGGGCCTCTTGGAGCTACAGAGTAACTAAAATACCATAGAGTTCACGAGAAAGCAGAAAATACGTGAGCATGGATCTCAGCGACTTTGTGCATTGGTTGCAACTGGGACTCAACCTGCCATAACCTTAGGTCAGCCTGCCACACCCAAGGAGGGCCTGCCCCTACACCCAGACTCAAGTTTAGACACAGCCTAAACGTGTACCTCTAAATCTGCACAAGCTCAGGTGCCCAGATACTGGATTTCCTTATCTCTTCCGGGAAATGCAAAATGAAATTGCTTTCCTGTTGGGTACTTTCCTGATCCTTTATTCTGAAAAAGTGGTCATCCTTTTCCCCACAGGCCCTGTGACCTCTTCCTCCTGTCTTGCAGCTCACTGTGCACCTCCTCCTGGCACCAGTGCCCAGGGCTCTCCTGTTGGTAGTTCCTGCTTTTCTTCTTGGAAATTCCTCGTGGGCCTCGAGATCTTTACCTTATAACAGTTCTGTTGAATTTCACCCTGGCAATGTAAATCGATAGCTTACCTTCACAGAGGCCAGACAAAGGACAGATCTCACCATCAGCCCTCTGCTCACCTGAGACAAATGCATGTCTGATTGCTTCCTCTGCCCTATTTATGTAAAAATGCAGATTCACTGAGCCAGACTAAGGCATAAATGACTGTTCCTCTACCTGCCTCTCACATGGAAATTGTGTATTCAGTGAAAGGCTGATCAAAGACCCAAAATACTGCAACAGTTTATATCTTATCTACCTATGACCTGGGAGCTGCCCACCGCCCCTAGTTGCTCTGCCTTTTCAGAGAGAACCAGCGTACATCTTACATGTTATTAATCGATGTCTTGTGTCTCCCTAATATCAAAGCAAGCTGTGCCTCGACCACCTTGGGCACATGTCCTCAGGACATCATCCTGAGGCTGTGTCACAGGCACGTCCTTAACCTTGGCAAAATAAAGTTTCTAAATTGAGACCGTCTCAGGTACTTTGGGTTCGCACCACAAGGAAGGGGTCTCATGCACATGTGCCTAATAATAACAACTATCACAGAGGACTGCAAAAACCACAACCTTTACACAAAGGCTATTGCAACCTTACTCAAAAACAAAAACAAAAACAAACTTCTGTTGCAAGGACATCTGCCTGGCAACTGCCTGTCCAACCCTGGACTGGTGTCACCCTTTGTAGCCAAAGAATTATCTCAAAACAATGATGTGATCCTCATTTTCCCTTTAAAAACCTTTGTCTTCCTAGGCTGGGCACGGTGGCTCACGCCTGTAATCCTAGCACTTTGGGAGGCCGAGGCGGGCAGATCACAAGGTCAAGAGATCGAGACCATCCTGGCCAACATGGTGAAATGCCGTCTCTACTAAAAATACAAAAATTAGCTGGGCATGGTGGCGTGTGCCTGTAATCTCAGCTACTCGGGAGGCTGAGGCAGGAGAATCACTTAAACCCATGAGGCGGAGGTTGCAGTGAGCTGAGATTGTGCCACTGCACTCCAGCCTGGTGACCGAGCGAGACTCCGTCTCAAAAAAAATAAATAACTAGGCCAGGCATGGTGGCTCATGCCTGTAATCCCAGCACTTTGGGAGGCCGAGGCGGGCAGATCACAAGGTCGGGAGATCGAGACCATCCTGGCTAACATGGTGAAACCCCATCTCTACTAAGAAAAACACCAAAAATTAGCCAGGTGTGGTGGCGGGCGCCTCTAGTCCCAGCTACTCGGGAGGCTGAGGCAGGAGAATAGAGTGAACCCGGGAGGCAGAACTTGCAGTGAGCCAAGATCACGCCACTGCACTCCAGCCTGGGCAACAGGGCAAAACTCCGTCTCAAAAAAAAAAAAAAAAAAAAAAAAAGACGTTTGTCTTCCTTTACCCCCTGAATACACACATAGCTTAATGTGGCATGCATATTCCCATTGCAATGCCCTATTCACAAATGAACATCTTTGTCCAGAAAGTCTCCATGTGCTTTAGGTAGAGCGTGTCTAGGTGCTCTTAGAGAAGAACTCAGCTTCAATCACCCCTGGGGGATGACCTCCGTTCTCTCCTCCTTCCTTTATTCAGTGAGTTTATGAAGCACCTGCCCTGGGCCAGGGGCTCTTCTGGGCATGAAGTAGAAGTGGACAGAACACAAAACCCCTGCCCCACGCAGCTCACAGGCATTAAAGGATTGAGTGCTGAGCATGCTTGGGGTCAAACTAAAAGATTTGAAGATATTTATTCTGAGCCAAATATGAGTGAGGGCGGCCCATGACCTAGTCCCAGGAGACCCTGAGAACACGTGCTCAAAGTGGTCGTGCTACAGCTTTTGGTTTAGTACATTTCAGGGAGACATAAGCCATAAACCAGTACATGTAAGATGTAACATTGGTTCCCGAAAGGTGGGACAACTCGAAGGTGGGGTGGGGCTTCCAGGTCATACATGAATTCAAAGATTTTCTGGGCCTGGGGCAGGGACTCACGCCTGTAATCCCGCCACTTCGGGAGGCGGAGGTGGGCAGATCCCTTGAGGTCAGGAGTGCGAGACCAGCCCGGCCAATATGGTGAAACCCCGTCTGTACTAAAAATACAAAAATTAGCTGGGCATGGTGGCGGGCGCCTGTTATCCCAGCTACTAGGGAGGCTGAGGCAGGAGAATCGCTTGAATCTTGGAGGTAGAGGTTGCAGTGAGCCGAGATCACACTATACTTGGATATCTTTCAGGGCCTGCCATCTGTCACGTCGGTATCCTACTGCCTAGACAGTCTTAAGTCTGTTTTGACGTTAATGCTGGTCCGAATTCCAAAGGGAGGAGGGTCTACTGAGGCGGGTCCCACCCCGCTTTTCCCATCAGAGTCTGAACTCGCGGTTCAGGTTCCCTTTAGGACGCCCCTGGCCTAGAGGAGGGTCCAACGGCTGGCTGCGGGGCTTAGAATTTTATTTTTGGTTTACAGCACAGAAGAAGAGCAGTGAGGAAGGGGCGCGGGTGGGGGGTGCAAGGCGGCGGCTCCAAGAAAAGCCAGCCCCTCGCGGCCCGACAGAGTCTCCGCACCCCGCGGGTCGGTGGAGCCTCAGTGGCGAGCGCAGGCGGGTGCTCGGGAAACACAGCCGCCGGGCAAGGGAGGGCCGGACGGAACACAAGCGCGTAGCCGCGGCTTCCGGCCGGGCCACTAGCGCGGACCCTACGACCGGGGCGGGACTTCCGGCAAGGCGCGGAAGCGGCGGTAGTGGCAAGTGGAGAAGTTGTGTGGCTGACGGATGCAGGCGGTGAGGCACGTCGTGTGTGCCCTGTCCGGCGGCGTGGACAGCGCCGTGGCCGCGCTGCTGCTGAGGCGAAGAGGTGAGGCGGCCGAGACCCCCGCCCGCCCCCTAGCGAATGTGTCCGCGAAAACCTGTCCCCGTCCCTCGTGGCGTTGGGCAGATCGCCTCCCTCCCTGGGCCCCTGGTTGCGCGGGGGTCAGCAGGAGGACACCCCGTCCTCTGACTTCGGTTCCGAGGCTCCTCGCCCTCCACCTGTGTAGTCGGAGGTGTGCGCGACGGCAGCTCCGACTACCTGGGAGCAGTTCAGCGCCCCTCTCCACCCGCGCCCACCCCCAGTGAGAAGCCGGCGGGCCGGGGTGGAGTGGGGAGGGGAGGGGAGGGCTTCTCACGGGTCTGCGGCGTCTACATTCGCCTGTGAGGCCGGGGACATTGGTTACGGGAGCTGGGATCGCCGGGCCGGAGGCCTGACCTCTGCACACGCCGTGGCCGCCAGGTGGGAGGTCCTTGTCCTGCCCAGTCAGCAGCAGACGGACAGCTGCCGCGCGGCGGGTCTGCTTGTTCAGTGTCTCTTGTGTTCTCTGCTCGCTGGAGGACAAAGTTTTCTCCAGAAGTATTTCCATTTCTTCCGGCATCTAAACGGAGCCCCACGGGTGCTTAGGATTCCTCGGGCCCAGCGCTGAAATGAGCGCTTGTTTAACTTCACCTGTGTGGCTCCCCGCGGGAGGCCTCATTCACTTGGTAACGTTTGTGGAGCTCTGCTTTGCGCCATCTTTGGTTCCTGACCTTGGGCGAGTGAATTAAGCCGTCCCCTGTAAAATTCGGCTAACTCCCGCCTCACGGGGTGACTGGAGGGATTAGATGACATAATACGTATTGATGAGTAAGTGCCCAGCACATACGAGGTACTCAGAAAACAGAAGTGGCTATTAGTTTATGTTGTTAATAACCATGGTTATTATCGTAGGTAGTAGGTGCCAAAGAGAAGCGTAGGCAGACCACAAGCAGAACTAGTTGTGAGGAAGGGAGAGTGGAGGAAAGCATGCTAGAGGTGGAGGTGTTCAGCTAAGTCGAAAGAAGAATAGGATGTCACTAAGCAGAGACTTGGAGGTGGAGGCGGCCCTCCCGACAGAGTCAGCAGTTCGAGCAGAATCACAGAGGCCTGCAAGTGTTGGCTGTTTCTGGCCAGATGGAGATGGAAGGAGAGGAGCCTGGAGCACGTTTAGCCCTGATTATGGAAGATGCTATGCCAGGGGCTTTGGACTGTTAGGTAGACAACATTGGTCTGGTTGATCTGGGATGGGGGTGGTCTTTTGCGTGTGACGGTGCAGTTTTGGCAAAGCTTTGTCATCAAATTTCTGTTGCTTTGGGTACTATATAAAGCCTCCTTCAGCAGTCATTTGCCCTTTCATTACATTCAGCCTGCCGAAAAGAACCAGCTTTCTCATACGGGGTCAGCACCTGTGTAGTTTGCTAAGGTGGTGTAAGGCTAAAGTTAGCCTTTCCAATATTTGGGTGACTATTTTGTTACAATTGAAAAGGTAGAAAGTAGGTCATAAACTAAGTGGTACAGCTCTTACAAAATATGGAAACTTTTAATTATCTTTATATCTGATGACTTAGAATCTAAGTCTTAGGTGGTAACTAGAAATAACTTTTGAAGAGTTTCCTTTTCTGATAACCGAATGGTGCTTTGAAAAATTCTGTTGAGTTTTGACTATTCCTTCGTGTATTCCACACACACTGGCTAAGCCCCTCCTGCTAGGCATTGTGGTGATACATCGATGGGGACACAAAGATGAGAAATTACCACCTCTCTTATCTTGGGGACGCAAGCACCAAGACGGAAACCAGATCCCTGAAGCCACATGGCAAAGCAGGGACTGCCAGGCAGGCCAGGCACAGAGGCACAGGAGCACAGCGTAGGGGGAACTTCTCAGAGCTCAGAAATCACTGCCGTTTTACCGAAGGTTGATTAATGTATTTTCTTTAATTGACCTTCTTCCCGCCGCCAGGTTACCAGGTGACAGGGGTGTTTATGAAGAACTGGGACTCGCTGGATGAACATGGGGTGTGTACTGCCGACAAAGACTGTGAAGATGCTTACAGAGTTTGCCAGATCTTAGACATCCCTTTCCATCAAGTGTCCTACATAAAGGAGTATTGGAACGACGTGTTCAGGTGAGTGCAGGTCACAGCACAAAGAAGGCCTCCTCACACTGTGGGTGCTTGCAATGAAAGGATCGCGGTAGTCAGCCAGCCAGACGCCTGTGCAGCCCAGCGCTCTCCCTCCACGGTGGTGCCGAAGACTGCAGGAGGCCTCAGCCACCCTGGGGGCTCTGTGTTAGCAGCGAGGCCTGGACCCCACAGCACACCCAGCTGTCTCACTCCTGTCATTTTGCCACTTGTCTGAAGTCTCTTTAATGCTTTCTCGGGCCTTGAGCTGTTTCTGTTGCCCAGTTAGGGTAGGGCAGGGGAGCTAAGGCTGAGGGCTCCCCTGGAAGGTGAGCACCAATGCCTGTGTGCTATGTGGGTCAGCCATTAAGGGGGTTCTGAGAAAGAGTTAGGTGATACATGGCCTGTGCCTCTGAAAACAAAAAACAAACAAAAACTTTTATAAAACCTAATACAATCCCAATAATTAAGTGCTGTGTGCTAGGTGCGTGCCACATCTAGGAACATTAAGATGTCTGCACTGTGACCTGGTTCTGTAGGAGTTTGCGGTCTAGTTGGGAGGACATTATCTTCACAAGAGGTGATAGTGATGCGTGGCACGCGGGAAGTACCAGTGATGCTGTCAATCACTGAACCCAGAGGAGAGAGAAATTTGCAGAGAGGAGTAATCAAGAAGGCTTCATGCCAGTGGAGGGGTTGGAAACAAAGGAGTAAAGAAGGCACTCCAAATGGGGTATTGAGAGCAGCATGAAGAGGAGAAGAAATGCCAATTGTGTATTTCAGGACCGTTGTAAAATTTGGCTGGACTTTTGTTCCTGCAGTGGAAGGAGTGTAGGGCTTGTCCTCCGGTGAGCCCTGACTGCGATGAATGTCGGGCGGTTGTTGAAGGCGTCTGACATAGCAGGCCATGTGGCAGGACAGGCTGCCCCTGCCTCAGTGGCCTTTAGGGGCAGAAAAGCCTTGGGTTGAGTCCTGACTGTAGCTTATTATATGACCCTGGGCAATTTACTTGACTTTGTTTCTTTAGTTGAAAAAAATTCTTTTTCTTTCCTGCTAACAAAGACCCAGAAGAGATTCTTGACTTTTCTAAGCCTCAATTTTCTCACCTTTAAAATGAGGATAACACTGATGCCTCAGTGTAAGAATTGAGATTAGGTTATAGTATGTATGCCTGGTATATTAGTAAGCAGTCAATAAACATAGCTGTTTTTCTTTTCTTTTTTTCTTTTTTTTTTTGAGATGGAGTTTTGCTCTGTCGCCCAGGCTAGAGTGCAGTGGTGCGATCTTGGCTCACTGCAACCTCTGCCTCCCAGGTTCAAGCGATTCTCATGCCTCAGCCTCCCAAGTAGCTGGGATTGTAGGCGTGCACCACCACGCCCAGATAATTTTTGTATTTTTAGTAGAGACAGGGTTTCCCCATGTTGGCCAGGTTAGTCTCAAACTCCTGACCTCAGAAGATCCACTCGTCTTAGCCTCCCAAAGTGCTGGGATTACAGGCGTGAGCCACCACGCCAGCCTGCTATTTTTATTTTCATTATTAAAAAGATGAGTCTGGGGAGCTAAGCTGTGAGGATGCAAAGGCATAAAAATGATATAATGGACTCTGGGGTGAGGGATAAAAGACTACACATTGGGTACAATGTCCACTGCTTGGGTGACGGATGCACCAAAATCTCAGAAATCACCACTGAAGAACTTATCCATGTAACCAAACTCTACCTGTTCCCCCAAAACTATTCAAATAACAATAAAAAGAAATTTAGATTCAGTAAATTGACTATAGTCACCTAAGGAATCAACAGAAGAGCTTGAACATGAACCCTCTGTGACTCTATGCTATGACATATGGGTGCCGTATATGTTAACAACAAGGGGAAAACTGATGGCTGAATTTTCCTGGGGGAAGTTATCTGTAGAATGCATGATAAATGCATTAAAAACATCTGCAGTTTCCTCGGGGACATAAGAAAAAGAGTGTGGCAGCCAAATATAGGATAAATATGGGAGAAGACCAAAGGCAGAGAGTCTCAGGAAGTGCTGTTGCTGCAGATTTGGACTTCATGGGGAGGGACTGTGGGAGTGGAAGGTGAGGGCTGGCTTGTTGGACCCAGAGGACAAGTCCACCGGGCAGTAGATCTGAGGTGCTTGTTAAACACAGACCTGGACCGAGGTCTGGGTGTGGCCCTGGAATCTGCTTTAATAAGTACTTCAGCTGTGCTTGTGTTGGGGCGTTGTCAGGGTCTTTCTTTGAGAAAAGGTGTGATGAGGCTTAGGGACTGATGTGTGTGGGAGACCCGAGAGGAGAGGAGTCAGCAGTAGTTTCTTTTTTTTTTTTGAGACGGAGTCTCGCCTTGTCGCCCAGGCTGGAGTGCGGTGGCCGAATCTCAGCTCACTGCAAGCTCCGCCTCCCGGGTTTACGCCATTCTCCTGCCTCAGCCTCCCGAGTAGCTGGGACTACAGGCGCCCGCCACCTCGCCCGGCTAGTTTTTTGTATTTTTTAGTAGAGACGGGGTTTCACCGGGTTAGCCAGGATGGTCTCGATCTCCTGACCTTGTGATCCGCCTGTCTCGGCCTCCCAAAGTGCTGGGATTACAGGCTTGAGCCACCGCGCCCGGCCAATCAGCAGTAGTTTCAAGATCAAGGCTGGAGCAGTAGTTTCAAGATCAAGGCTGGGTGGCTGGGGAAAGCCGGTTTAGGGGATTCCTCATGAGTACTGTAGAGTTTGAGGTGACAACAGGGAATCCAAGTGAGCTTACACTTCACCTGCTAGCACCGCTTTTTCAAAGTGTACGTGTGGATGTGGTTTTTGAAGTTTAGCTCAGCTGAGGCCCGATAGGAAGAGTGACTTGAATACTATGGCAAATGAGGAGCAGTGCTGGGATTAAAACCCAGCTTTCCAGGCTAGTGCTTGTTGCCGCCTTCTGGCGCTGCTTGATAGAGACTGAAAGGAGGAGGCAATTCTTTTCCCATCTCTGGGGCTGCCCCCGAGCTCGCCCCAGGCTCCAGCCAGCCTGCCCTCTGTCCTCACCCAGTACCAGCTGCCCGTGGAGGCACTGTCTTCCTGCCGAACACTCACTCCTCCCGTAGGGCTCTCTAGCTCAGAAATTTCTTTCGTATTCTTTCATTCAAGACCCACTGGCCTTCACGGATCAGAGTCCAGATACGTTTTAGCTGCTGAGTCTTTTAAACTGCTGTCTCCCTCCCGAAGTGCAGGAAAGGCTTCTCTTCTTTCCAGTGAGAGAAGAGGCCAGGCTACTCCATTGTTTTTGCTAATGCCAGATGACACACCTTCCCGTCCGCTGTTTAGGAAAGGGTTAACAGTATGTCTTTTCAGAAACTGATTTAAATGTTCGACCTCTTCAATATTTATTGATGACTGTTATATAGAAAGCTTGTTGGGTCTAGGACATAGAGAGACACAGACTGTACCTTAAGTAGTTTATAGTTTAATGAGCTTCCTGACAACTTTCTAATAATTAAAGCAAAATGGAAAGAGTGTAATAGCATCAAGTGTTGTTGCAAACGTGGAACAACATGAGCTTTTATGAACTTCTAGGGGGAGCAAGAAGTAGGAAAACAGTTTGGTACCCGCTACAGTGGAAAATATCCAAGGAACCTCTGACCCTGTGCAGATCCATGATCTGTCTGCATAACAACCCTCTTGATCAGCCTTGGTTTTTTTTTAACCCTTGTTGATTAATAGAGAGTTTTAGGTTAAATGAAAAAAATCACTTATACCAAAAATACACCCATTTTTAAACTCCCAAAATAGGCGTCATAACCCTCTTGAAGTGAATCCTCGAAGACTATGTAAGTCTTGCTGGTATCACAGCATCTTTTTCTCATGTTCAGTCAGTCTGTTAGAGCAGAAATTCACTGAATTAGGATGGCCTGATCCACTTTAAGCACCCAAGAGGTTGCTTGTTCTCAGAAGTGTGTTTGTCACGCGAGGAAAGTATTTTTGGTGTATTTGCCCAGTGGCACAGCATCCCAGGCTGAGATTGCAGAATGGCTCATGGAGCCCTGGTGCGGGGAAACCTCTGACTGGTTTCTCCTCTGCTCTCACCATGGCCGCATCCTCACAGAAGAAGGCTTCTGTGACAAAGGTGTGGGGGTTGTCTCCATACACCAAGCCGTGGACACAACTGGGTGTCCTCTGATTCAGTTCCAATACCATCTACCTGGAGATAGTGCTGGATGCCAAAGGTTGGGGGTTCCGTCCCCAAGATGGACTCTCCCTCTACAGCAGTGGAAAGTGTGGGCCTGTAGAACTTACCACCCACTGGCTTCCCGTTGGGATTCCCGTAACTTCCTCTTTGGGTTCGATTATTAATAATTTGCTGGAGTGGTTCACAGAACTCAGAAAAACACATTTACCAGTTTATTATAAAGGATGTTGCAAAGGATACAGATGAAGAGTTGGGCCGGGTGAGGTATAGGGAAAGGGTGTCCACACCCTCCCTCGGGCCACCCTCCAGGAGCCTCCACAAGTGCAGCTGTGCAGAAGCTCTCTGAACCCAGTACTCTTGGGTTTTTATGGAGGCTTCATGACATCGCCATTCCTTCTCCCGGGATACAGAGTGGGACTGTCTCTGGGGAGGGTCTGAAGACCCACAGTCAGAAAGGTAGGTGCTTGTAATTCTAGCACTTGAGGAGGCTGGGACAGGAGAATTGCTTGAGGCCTGGAGTTCAGTATCAGCCTGGGCACCATGGCAAGACCTCATCTCTACAAAAAAAGAAAAGGATGCAATGGGCCGGGCGCGGTGGCTCATGCCTCTAATTCCAGCATTTTGGGAGGCTGAGGAGGGCAGATCACTTGAGGCCAGGAGTTGGAGACCAGACTGTCCAACATGGTGAAACCCCGTCTCTACTAAAAATACAAAAATTAGCCAGGCATGGTGCTGCACACCTGTAATCACAGCTACTCTGGAGGCCGAGGTGGGAGAATCGCTTGAACCCGGGAGGTGAAGGTTGCAGTGAGCTGAGATCACACCACTGCACTTCAGCCTGAATGACAGAGCAAGACTCTGTCTCAAAAAAAAAAAAAAAAAAAAGATGCAGTGAAAGGAGGGCAGGAGGTCAGAGGCCTGTCCATGAGGCCCGTCCCTGAGGCCCACCGCACCCAGCATGACAGCAAAGGACTAACGGGTGAGGTCAGAGGCCCATCCGTGAGGCCCGTCCCTGAGGCCCACCGCACCTAGCATGACAACAAAACAATAACAGGCTAAGGGAGTTGCAAGCCAGGAACTGTGGATGAAAGCCAATGTATAGTAGCATAGCACCACAGCCCTGCAGCAGAAGTCTAGAGGATTTCATTTCTACTGTCACTCAGGCATCTTCTCTTCCTCACCTAAGCCCTGCTGTGTTGGAGGAGTCCCAGAGGCAGGGGCACTCCCCACTCCTGACCCCATAGGCCCTGTGAGTCTGCACGGAGACGGTGGCTCCTGAGCCGGCAGGGAATAACACCTTGTCCGGTGGCCCATGCAGCAGGTTATAAACAAATGTTCGAAGACAGTGGCTTTATACTGAAGCTCTCCTGTTTTGCAGAAAATTACAGTTGTGGTATGACAAGGAGAAATTCTACATTAAGCAATTTAGTGAACTTTTTTTTTTTGTTTTTTTGAGGAATGTTTCACACTTGGAACTGAAGTCATTTTCTTTTATTCTAGTGATTTTTTGAATGAGTATGAAAAAGGAAGGACTCCCAATCCTGACATAGTTTGCAACAAGCACATCAAATTCAGTTGCTTTTTTCATTATGCTGTGGATAATCTTGGTAAGTAATTTGGGTTTAAAACTTCTTTTTTTTTTAGAGACAGGGTCTCACTCTGTCACCCAGGCTGGATTATAGTGGTGCGATCATGACTCACTGCAGCCTTGACCTCCTGGGCTCAAGAGATTCTCCCACCCCAGGCTCCTGAGTAGCCTGCATCACAGGCGTGCCACCATCGTGGCTAATTTTTTGTGGAGATGGTGTCACAACTGTATTGCCCAGGCTGTTCTCAGATTCCTGGCCTCAAGCAATCCTCCTGACTTGGCCTCCCAAAGTGCTGGGATTCCAGGCGTGAGCCTCTGTGCCTAGCCACTTTCTTCTTGTGGAAACTCCTGATACTGAATAGCTTGCGTAGACCACCTCTTGATGTCTGTGGCTATGATTTATGAATTTTAGGTTCTTTTTCCTGTCGCCTGCCATTGGAGTCACCATAACGAGTTTCTGACGTTCTGGCTCGGGCTTCTTGGTTTGCTGTGTTCCACTGCAGCTCACCCTGCTGTGTGTGGCTACGAGATACCATTGTAAGCCAGGGGCCCAGTAGCGTCGGCGCTTTTAGCAATGATGTAGATGAGGCTTGCAGACTCAGTATACGAGCAACCTAAAGCTGAGTTGATGATGATCATGAAAGTTTGTGGAGTTAGGAATAAACAAATGCCTACAAAAACAAAAAAATCAAAAAGAAAAATCTTAAATTTCAACACTGGGCTAACACCAAAAACATGAAACTCAATAGAGATAAATGCAGTTTGCTAACTAGGTTCACTCATTCTCCTAGTACAAGATTGGAAAGACCTAGCTTGGTTGCCATTGAATGTGCAGAAAATCTGGGGGATTTGGGTGCCCCCAGGCTGACTGAGCCAGTAGTGTGATGTCTTTAGTCAAAGTCAGCACAGACTGAGCTCACCCTGATGATCAGAGAATGTCTGGGAAGGAGTGACGCGTCCACCATGGTCTGTCCTGGTTAGACCGTGTCCGTTATTCAGGAAAAGAGTGACAGACTGATAGAATGTGAATTGATTTTTATTTTCAGGGTATCCGGAAATATGTCCTCCCTGAACTGTTGAGATTACTTTGGGTCATAGTGGCAGTGGTCAAGTGTGTGAGTTAGGATGACAGTCTTTGTTTTTTTTTTTTTTTTTTTTTTTTTTTTGAGACGGAGTCTCGCTCTGTCGCCCAGGCTGGAGTGCAGTGGCCGGATCTCAGCTCACTGCAAGCTCCGGCTCCCGGGTTCACGCCATTCTCCGGCCTCAGCCTCCCGAGTAGCTGGGACTACAGGCACCCGCCACCTCGCCCGGCTAGTTTTTTGTATTTCTTAATAGAGACGGGGTTTCACCGTGTTAGCCAGGATGGTTTCGATCTCCTGACCTCGTGATCCACCCGTCTCGGCCTCCCAAAGTGCTGGGATTACAGGCTTGAGCCACCGCGCCCGGCCTAGGATGACATTCTTTGTGTGACCAGAGGACAGAGTTAGGACTGGCAGGAGGAAGAGTTTCCTGGGGTGGAGGCGCAGGCAGCTGTTCAGGAATGGAAGCACTGAGCTCTCTGTCACAAAAGCTTTTTAGGGAGCCCCTAGGTGACTGGCTGTCAGGCATGCTGTGGAAGGAACTGCTGTAGTGAATATTTCCACACCTGGATGAAAGGCATGAACCATGCAACACAGGATGACGGGACATGACACCCGGACTTCTGAACTCACCGCACTTCTCAGGGGCATCCTGCACTTTTTCTAGTATAAGGGCTGTTCTTTAAGGACATAGATTTAAAGTGGATTGTTTTCTCTATGAGAAACTCAGTCAAGATGAGATCATGTGTTTCTAAAGTGCCTTTTTCAGGTCGTTAATATGCAGCAGTTAATTCTTGCTGTGTCTTCTGTTTACAGTGAGCTAGTGTGGTTGGTTAAGGATGGAATCCATTTTGCTGCACCTTTCATAAAAGTCTCTCCCAAACTAAGTATCTGTAATTTTTTCTTTTTTTGAGATGGAGTCTCACTCTGTCACCCAGGCTGGAGTGCAGTGGTGCGATCTCAGCTCACTGCAACCTCCACCTCCAGAGTTCAAGCAATTCTCCTGCCTCAGCCTCCCAAGTAACTGGGATTACAGGTGCCCACCAACATGTCTAGCTGATTTTTGTACTTTTTTTGTAGAGATGGGGTTTCACCATATTGGCCAGGCTGGTCTCAAACTCCTGATCTCAAGTGATCCACCCACATCGGCCTCCTAAAAGTGCTGGGATGACAGGCATGAGCCGCCGCACCTGGCCCAAATATCTGGAATTTTTACACAATGAAAAGGTTCTGGACTCGTATGCGCCTTGTTAGGCTCTTTGGCTTTGTGTAATATGAAAAGAAGAAACAGTGTGCATATGATTCTTCACTCTGATGAAAACAGTACATATTTATTACAGAAAATTTAAAAGAGGAGAAATGACACCTACAATTTCACTCTCAGAATCAAAGGAATAGACCTGAGATTTTTCTTCAATTGTTTCTCTACAGTAAAAACAGTGGAATCATGGTGTTACATCATCACCCTGCTGAACAGTGCCAGGCGTTTTCCTGTGTTAGTAAACATTCTCCGTAAGGACCCCCGTTGTTACGGCAGTGCATTGTCATTCACTTCACATTCTCCCAGTGGTGAACATTTTGGTCCATTTTGGTGCTTATTTATTTATTTATTTTATTTTATATATTTTCTGAGACAGCATCTTACTCTGTTGCCCAGACTAGAGTGTTGTGGTGCAGTCTCAGCTTCCTGCAGCCTCGACTTCCCAGGTTGAAGCAATCCTCCCACCTCAGCCTCCCAAGAGGCTGGGACTACAGGTGTGCGCCACCACGCCTGGCTAATTTTTGTATTTTTTGTAAAGATGGGATTTCACCAGCCCAGGCTGGTCTTGAACTCCTGAGCACAAGCAATCATCTGCCCACCTTGGCCTCCCAGAGTGCTAGGATGACAGGCATGAACCACTGCGCCTGGCCTCCCTTAGTATTATAAGAAACCCTGAAATGAATATTTTGTATTTGAATCTTTCTGTGCATTTCATACAGTTTCCTTAAGCTAGAAGTTAACTTTGGAAAGGCTCTTAAAAGTGCAGTAACACTTCAAGTAGCAAGATTGTATCAGCTTCAGAGTCCAAGGCTGCTTGTTTGATGGAATTGGATGTGTGCCTCTGTTCCCTGGGATCTCCATGTTTGGGGGCAAAGTGGATTGCGCAGCCCGTCAGCCTAAAGACTTGGGGTCTGTACTCTTCTTTTGTGCCTTGGTTTATGCTGATCAAGGCCTGCAAGTTTGAGTCTAAAACCCGATCCTTGTGTTCTAAAAACCTCACAGGGGCAGATGCCATTGCCACAGGCCACTACGCAAGAACTTCACTGGAAGATGAAGAAGTTTTTCAGCAGAAGCACATTAAGAGGCCAGAAGGGCTTTTCCGAAATCGGTTTGAAGTTAGAAATGGTAAGTTAAAGTGCCCAGATCAGAGCTGAATTCTTGTGAATAGAGTGAAATCTTTTGAGGAATGACAGTGGGTTGTGCCTGAGGATCACGGCCACCCCTCCCTCTGTGCTCCGGAGTAGCTTGTATGGGATTCACATTTGAAAAGGTGCAGTTACCAAGAGGGCATTTCCCCTCAGGGCCTGTGATTGGGTAGTAAGAGATGTCCCTGCCGGCTATGGCGAGGGCTGGTGGCAAATGACATCAGATATTGATAATCCAGCTCTAGACACTGTGCGTTGGTGATTTGAATGTTCCAAAAATATTTGGGTAAATATTTGACAGTGATAATTGAGGTGCTGTCAGTCTAGCCAAGGCCCTGTACTTAGCAATAAGTTCTCAAGGGCATGCGGTTCAGGCAGACTTTTAATGTGCTGTGAGCACAGGATCTGCTGTGGATCGCATAGGCTCAGCAGTCAGGCTTTGTAGCCATATGTGTGTTAGGGAGCCAGGTTTCACCTTTTTAGAAAAAAGTCAATAGCAGACAGTGAGCTGGGAAGCTGTTGGCTTGTTCTGGTGTACATGTGTATGTAGAAAAGAGGAATTCCCTGCATTGTTGAGTGAGAAACCAAGTGGAGCTCAGAGCCGTGTTTCTGCAGGGAGCATCCATCAGTGTAGGACCCCTGTAGGGCAGCATTGCTCCTCTGTCCAGAAATTCAGATGTTGGAGGGAGCCTTGTCCTGCCATCTAGGGAACAGGGGTATTTGGGGCTGGGGCTGGGGCAGGGCTTTACATGCACACATTTCTTTTTTAAATTTTTATTTTTTTTTGAGATAAGGTCTCTGTCAACAAGGCTAGAGGACAGTGGCCCAATCTTGGCTCACTGTAGCCTCCACCTCCTGGGCTCAAGTGATCCTCCCACCTGAGTCCCACCAAGTAGCTGGGACCAGAGGTGTACCCCACCACACTTGGCTAACTTTTTCATTTTTTTGGAGAGATGAGGTCTCGCTATGTTGTCCATGCTGGTCTTGAACTCCTGGGCTTAAGCGATCCTCCCACCTTGGCCTTTCAAAGTGTTGGGATTACAGGTGTGAGCCATCAAGCCTGGCCTCACACATTTCACATCGCCCCTCTTAGCAGTCCATGAGGTGTGTGCTCTCATCCCGTTTCACAGATGAGGAAACCGAGGCCTGGATGAAGCCACCTGACCTAGGTATCTCGGGCGGCAGAGCTGGATTGCAGTGCACTTCTGCTCACTCCCCAGCCCCTGCTGTTTCTGCTGGGTCAGGCCCCAGCTGAGTTCTTTCCTCAGCGTTGCTGAGCCTATCCTGAAGGCTGCAGCGATGGGGCGGGGCTGTGCTTGGTCAAGGGAGCCCTGAGTGTGCCAACAGTCGTCTGCCACCCTCTGTTCCCTCCTCTCCTTCCTTCCTTATGCCAGAGGGTGATCAGGTAACTGTACTAACTTGAGCCCAGAGAATAGCAGCCCACTCCCCTAAGACAGCCCCCCATTTCAGGAAGACATGGGTTTGAATGCAGAGTCCTGCCACTTGGGAACTCCGGGGTGGAATTCACCAAGTAATTGTGCATTTATGGGACCTGAGGAGATGGAGGGTTAATTTCCATGTTGAATAGATGTGTCTGCTTACCTCCTAGAACACTGTGTGCCTTGCAGAGCCATCGACCTTTATTATAGGCCACATGCCCTAGGAAATGTCTGATAGTACTGATGGATGCATTTTGTTGAGTGCGTTTGGCGTGTGGGAGTTCTGATGATGCCACAATGTCTTGGCCTTCACTTGGTTTGGTAGGCACACTCAAGGTTTCCATTTCATTCTTCTTCAGTTGCCCTGGCTTGGCCTGGGTCTCTGGGGAGAGCACCTGCAGGGGCAGTGGAGGGCTTGGGCTCAGGGTTGGTCAGCACCTGAGACTGGCGCTCCTAGGCCCGGCCTGTGACTAGACCGATTTTCCCCCGCACAGCGTCCTACCACCGGCCTGGCAGAGCCAGCACGGGCGCCGGCTTGTCAGTGAGGCTCGGGCACAGGCAGCCTCCTCCAAATGTTGTTCATTCCTTTCTGTGCTTTTCCTCTACAGTAGTTCAGTTAGGGTCACCAGCTTGCTTTTTTGAAAATCATAGATTTTTAGTTTGTTTTAAAATGACTCAGAACTAGAAGAAAATGCAAATGGCTCCTAGTTTTCTGAGGCTTTTACACACATGCAGTGTTTGACTGCAGTTAGTTTGGGATTGAAAGTGGACTCTGAGGCCAGTTGCGGTGGCTCATGCCTGTAATCCCAGCACTTTGGGAAGCCAAGGCAGGCGCAGATCACGAGGTCAGCAGTTCGACCAGCCTGGCCAACATGGTGAAACCGCGTCTCCACTACAAATACCAAAAAATAATGAGCCGGGCGTGGCGGCACGTGCCTGTAGTCCCAGCTACTCTGGAGGCTGAGACAGGAGAATCACTTGAACCCAGGAGGTGGAGATTGCGGTGAGCAAGATGCACCACCGCACTCCAGCCTGGGCGACAGAGCGAGACTCCGTCTCAAGAAAGAAAAGAAAAAGTGGACTCTGGAAAGCGCCCTACTTCCGTGGCGACTGGTTGGCTGAACTTAGTCTCGCTTGTCGCTCAGTTCTGCTGTTTGTACCTGCCAAGTAAGGGAGTGGGACTTGGGAGGCTGGGCAGCCTCCATTCGCGCCGCCTCCACCTGCATCACTTTGGGCGAGTCATGTATAATGAACCGGGCTGGTTCCAGTTTCCCCTCTGTAACGTGAGGAGAATTCTCCCTCTCACGGCTAACGTGGGATTCAGCAGATGGACAACCCTAGCTACACAGTGTGTGTGCTGTACGCGTGGCTCTGCCAAGCCCGGAAGGGTACGTGTGCTGTCTGACCGTTACGGCATGTGGCGTGCTCTGAGTGTAACTCGAAAGGAGAAGTTCATGAGAAAGATTGAAAGAAGCCAGAAAACTGACATTCGTCTTAGTTTTTTGCCATTGATCACTGAACTTGAAAGTGGAGAACTGGACAGTTCTGGCCAGGTTTACTCACACCTCTGCTCCATTGCCTTAAAGCCAGAAATGGCTCTTTACAATCACATAGGGAATGTTGGAGGAACTGCAGGGGCACCTAACAGATGTCAGCTGAGACTCTAAGCAAAAAATGTTTTTACCAAGAAAGCTAATGTGTTCACAGGTAGAACGCTGCTGGTGCTGGCCCAGCAGTGAACCTGGAGAGTGTAGAGTTCTTGAAACCACCGTGGCACGAACACATCCTGTGGTTGTTGGAAGAAACCACAGCTGACGCTGTCAGTAGAATTTTCTGCAAGCGGCTAGCTTACTCCATTTTCCAAGATTTGGCTGAATTTATTTTAGGTGTTTTTTTTTTTTTCTTATCACTTCAGAACATTTTTTCATGTGATGTTTCATATTTGAAAATATTATATTCTGAAGTATGAGCTGGAATAATTTCTTTGTCATATAAAATCCTTGTTTTTTTTGGAGGTACAAATTTTTCTTACATTAACCCAGTGGCGGTCTTTTCCCTAGTAGTTGCTATTGAATGTTGTTGTCTGCTTCTGACAGGCTAGGGATAGTCTGTCTAAGGGAACAGAAGGACATTGTTGAAAGTGAAGTATCATTATTTTTATTCCTGCAACGTCTTTTGTTCTTTATTCTTGGCAGCGGTAAAACTCCTCCAGGCAGCTGACAGCTTTAAAGACCAGACCTTCTTTCTCAGCCAGGTTTCCCAGGATGCCCTGAGGAGAACCATCTTCCCTCTGGGGGGATTAACAAAAGAGTTTGTAAAGAAAATCGCCGCTGAGAATAGACTTCATCATGTGCTTCAGAAGAAAGAGGTATGAGTGAGCAGTTTCCTTTGATTAGTGCCTGTTTCCCTTTCCCGCCTGCACGGCCGCGGAGCAGCTGGGCCTGTGGGTCCGGTACCACTTCCCCTTCTCCAGGACCTAACACCAAAGGCCAACCTTGGAGCAATAGATGGAGGAGTTTGCTCAGGCGCACGGTACAGGGCTCTGCTGACATCCGGGAGCAGCCTACAGGAGACTCCTTGCTTTTTTCCTCTCCTCTGACCCTTGTGATAGGCAGCTTTCCCCGCAGCCTTCGCAGCTGGTGGGGTGCTCTTAGGATGGCCTGCCTGCCAGGTGAGTGCCAGGCAGTGTGACGCAGCACCGAGACCCCTGGAGGGGCAGGTGCTTTGCCACCGTCTGCACGCTGATGTGCCCTGTCATCCACTCGCCCGGCACAGACTCGTTCGGTGCCATCTGTTCCAGGCGCTGTGCTGCTGGGCCTCGAGGATATGGTGACGTGCACAGAGCTCCATCTTTGCCTCCATGGAGCTCACCCGCGAGTGGGGGACACAGACAGGAGGCCAATCAGTGTAAACCTAGAAAATGTCTACGGAGGGAGGTGTAGGATCCTGGGCGGGAAGCACCAGTGGGGTCTGAGAGTAGGGAATGGAGATGCCAAAAACAGCCTCAAAAGAAGTTACATGGAACCTGAGACCTGCAGGATGAGGGGATCCGGTGTCCCAGAGAGGGCTGGGAAAGTCCAGATGAGGGAATGGCAGTGCAAGGGCCTTGAGGCGAGGAGAAGCCAGGAGGATGGCATGGGGGTGCCTGTGTGTAGCCCCAGCTCCTCGGTAGGATCGAGTGCACCCAGGAGTGTGAGGACACCCTGGGCAACATAGCGAAACTTGTCTTAAAAAGAGAGCATTGGCGGAACTAGGATGAAGTCCGTGGGAGGAACTTGGGGATGGAGGGCGAGGGCGCTGTGGGATGAGCCTCACCTCTTCCGGGGCTGGTGCGGTGGGAGCTGTCGCTCCTTCTTGTCTCCCTGGTAATGGAACGGCCATACCTTTCATCAGAGCCATCTTCCCTGAAGAGCATGCCCACCCCCGTTCTCCTCTCTAGTCTTCCGTTTCCATTGTTGCTCTGTGGTGGGAGCTGCAGGCATGGAGGGGCAGTCTGGAGAGACACAAACCCGAGAGTAAACGATGCAGCCCCTGCTGGGGCCACGGTGGAGAGTGCACGCCGCCCAGGCTCCCCAGCTGGGGCAGATATACTTGAGGAAGGCACCTCTCCTCTGACTCCCCTGGAGCCCTACCCTGAGGCCTTAGCTTCGGGCCTGGCTCTTCTGCTTTCTGCCCCTCCTCTGCTCCCTGTCTCTCCCCAGGTCCTTCTTTCTTCCCCGGGGCAGCTGGTGTGAGGTTCTGCCTCGCGGGGTCATACCCTGCAGGCTGAGACAGTGAGGTGTCCTCTAAGATCCTGGCCTTGTGTGCGCCGGCTGTGACTGGTGGCCAAGGGTGCTGTTGGGCAGCTGGGCCCCTACCCTGGAAGCAAGGTGTGGGGTGAGGCCGGGAAGCCCCGGGGCCCGCTCAGGATGTCTGGGTACAGTGTGGGCCACCCCCACTTCTGGTCCTCTCACGGCTGCCATCTTCTCATTTCAGAGCATGGGCATGTGTTTCATCGGGAAGAGGAATTTTGAACATTTCCTTCTTCAGGTCAGTGCTGGTCTTTGACACAAAGCGATGGGGCTGCGTCTCTGCCCTGGGCCTGGATCTCCGTCGATAATGAAATGTTTGTTTTCCAGTATTTGCAGCCTCGACCTGGTCACTTTATTTCCATAGAAGACAATAAGGTTCTGGGAACACATAAAGGTGAGGTGCAGACTCTGCCACTTGTCAACTGAAATGCCTGGAGCTGTGGGGTTTCAGCTCTGGGAGACTAGACCAGGGTGCCCGTCGTCCCTTTCACTTGGCTGGTGAATCGTAGAAGGCTCTGTGGGGTGGCCGGGGGTAGGCAGGCATGGCCTAGGGTGGAACAGTTGCCTTGATGAGGGCTTGCATTTCAAGATGTGGCCTCAGCTGAAATGCTGGAGTTCATGAAAAGCGCACCTCTGACTTGGAAGGACTATACTCTGTGAGTTACGTATCAAATCCCTGTAAAAAGAATGATTTCCTTACTGTGTAAGGAAAATGTTAAACTACACAAAACTCCACTCTGATTCAGGGAGTAAGGGGGATGTCATGGCATGATCTGAATGATTAAGGACCACATGCAGTGATGGGATCAGGCGTCCCGCGCTGGCTGGGGTGCTGCTGGCTCACGTGCAGACCCTTACTGCGGTGAGGCCTGCATGAGCTTATGCTGTGCCTGGTGTCAGGGGACAGGCTCTGAGTTAGTCAGCAGTGTGCAGTCCTGTTGTGGGGACAGAGTGCAGCCATTGTTGGGTTAGTACAGTGGCGGGGATGTGCCAGCCGGCGTGATGATCAGGCAAGTCTTGACGCAGCGCAGGCCTGAGCTGTGGGACTGGCCAGGGGAGCGGGTGTAGGTGGTGCCTCGCGGCGAATTGCACTTGGAGATCTTCCACCTCTTGTGGAAGGGAGAGGGCAAGCTGAGCCGGGGCTAGGCGTTCCTGAGACAGGTTGAGGTAACAGCCTTGCCTGGGACAGAACTGCAAGGCAGAACTGCCCATGTATCTGCCAGTCCTGGCCCCAGCAGGAGCCAGTTGGATGACTCATGGTTTCCACCTGCAGTTCAGTTCACTGAAGAAGGCTGCCGGCCTAGGCCACGTGGTAAATCCCATGAGGTTCTCTCTGCCTGTGTGCACCATGGCAGGGGAGGGAGGCAGTGAGTTTGCCATCTGCTCTGTGACATTGTGAGGGTGCACAGAGGGGCTGGGGGTAGCCCTGATGCAGTTACTGCTAATATGAGATGGACACTGTTAGACACGCAGCTATGTCATGGGCTCAGCAAGAAGGGCCCCTGGCATCACACAGAGCACCCAGCCACATCCTGGGCCTAGAGTCACACAGAGCACCCAGCCACATCCTGGGCCTAGAGTCACACACGGAGCACCCAGCCACAGCCTGGGCCTAGAGTCACACACGGAGCACCCAGCCACAGCCTGGGCCTAGAGTCACACACGGAGCACCCAGCCACAGCCTGGGCCTAGAGTCACACAGAGCACCCAGCCACATCCTGGGCCTAGAGTCACACACAGAGCACCCAGCCACATCCTGGGCCTAGAGTCACACACGGAGCACCCAGCCACAGCCTGGGCCTAGAGTCACCCACAGCACCCAGCCACATCCTGGGCCTAGAGTCACACACGGAGCACCCAGCCACAGCCTGAGCCTAGAGTCACACAGAGCACCCAGCCACAGCCTGGGCCTAGAGTCACACACGGAGCACCCAGCCACAGCCTGGGCCTAGAGTCACACATGGAGCACCCAGCCACAGCCTGGGCCTAGAGTCACACACGGAGCACCCAGCCACAGCCTGGGCCTAGAGTCACACAGAGCACCCAGCCACATCCTGGGCCTAGAGTCACACACAGAGCACCCAGCCACATCCTGGGCCTAGAGTCACACACGGAGCACCCAGCCACATCCTGGGCCTAGAGTCACCCACAGCACCCAGCCACATCCTGGGCCTAGAGTCACACACGGAGCACCCAGCCACAGCCTGAGCCTAGAGTCACACAGAGCACCCAGCCACAGCCTGGGCCTAGAGTCACACACGGAGCACCCAGCCACATCCTGGGCCTAGAGTCACACACGGAGCACCCAGCCACATCCTGGGCCTAGAGTCACACACACACCACCCAGCCACAGCTTGGGCCTAGAGTCACACACAGAGCACCCGGCCACATCCTGGGCCTAGAGTCACACAGAGAACCCAGCCACAGCCTGGGCTTAGAGTCAGGGGCTCCTACAGCTGGAACCTGTACCTTCTAGGGTACAAAGTACCTGCTCGGTGGCCACTGGCTCCTGTGTCCAGCCCAGGCCTGGACAGTGATGAGAGGTGCCCAGGTGCTTGGTCAGGGCTGGCCTTGGTGGCTGGAGAATCATAGCTTCCTAGTGAGCTGGGCTTGCTCTGGGCTGCCCTCCCAGCATCTGCCTTCAGGAGAGGCGTGCCATGTGGGATGGAACTTGTTGCCCAGCCTCATGGAGAAACTGTCTTTCTGTAGGTTGGTTCCTGTATACCTTGGGCCAGAGAGCGAACATCGGTGGCCTGAGAGAGCCCTGGTATGTGGTAGAGAAGGACGGCGTCAAGGGCAATGTGTTTGTGGTGAGTGGGCCGGCCCTTGAGACAGCACTGGGGCTAGTTCTGGCAGGGCCAGCAGTGCTTACGGACCAGGGCTTGGGAAGGCCTCCAGCAGCCGTGGCTTCATGGAGCCTGTGACTAACTGTTCCTGTCCTTGGTCCCCTGCCTTCCTGCTGCATCCTCCTGGGACTGGCCATGGTGGCAGGAGGGTTTTTTTTTTTTTTTTTTTTTTGAGACGGAGTCTCGCTCTGTCGCCCAGGCTGGAGTGCAGTGGCCGGATCTCAGCTCACTGCAAGCTCCGCCTCCCGGGTTTACGCCATTCTCCTGCCTCAGCCTCCCGAGTATCTGGGACTACAGGTGCCCGCCACCTCGCCCGGCTAGTTTTTTGTATTTTTTTTTTAGTAGAGACGGGGTTTCACCGTGTTAGCCAGGATGGTCTCGATCTCCTGACCTCGTGATCCGCCCGTCTCGGCCTCACAAAGTGCTGGGATTACAGGCTTGAGCCACCGCGCCCGGCTGGCAGGAGGGTTTTAAGGTATTCATTAGGCCCTGTTGTGTGCTGGCCTCTTAATCATCACTGAACCCTTGTACACAAAGTTTATCCAATTTGACAAAAGAGGACAGCGAGACCCGGAGCTTGGGTGGCTCATCCGGTGGAGAGGGCATGGCCTCAGTGCCAAGGACAGTGCCCGCCGTGGTAGGATCCAGTGAGTTGTCATGAGCCAGGTGCAGATGGCCAAGCCAGGATCAAACTGAGCCTTCCACCACAGCGGGGCCCTTACCACTGTGACCCTGGCCTCAAAGCGGGGCCGCGCAGCAGGGGCAGGCTCACCCCACCTGCAGGGGACCTTGCCAGTGTCTGGAGGCATTTTTGGTTGTCACGGCTTGGGTGGAAAGGCAGGGGCACGGGTGCTGCTGCATCTGTGGGTCAGGCCAGGGATGCTGCTGGCGGTGTTCAGCACAGCCTCTTCCCTGAATGGCCCAGCCTCCACCTTGGCGCGCAGAGCTGAGAAGGCCCACTCTCAGCGCCCTGGCTGCCGACGCGTGTTCTGACACGAACGCTGGGGCGCCTTCTCTTAGACGCAGGGGGGGCCAGTAGGCCCAACCCGCCGATTCCAAGACATGTCCTTCTAGGAAGACTGTGGGGTGAAAAGCCTGGCTGCCAGTGAATTAAATGATCTAGATTTCAGTTTGCTATGAGAAGACCAGAAGGGTTACCAATGGCCTCCTGTCCCTGGACAGGTCTCAGTGCCTGCCTAGAACCCAAAGCCCTTAACTTCATGCTCCTTGTCCTGCTTCAGGGGCGGGGCTTGGCGCAATCCCAGGAGGTGACAGGGAGCAGGGGCCTCAGAACCAACCTAGGGTGGCTGGGACCCTCCATACCAGGGCCAGTCCCAGGGTAGCTGCGGGAAGCCCGCACCTACCAGTCCCTCCTTCCTCCTCAGCTATTTGGGGGGTGGTGGGATTCCTGGGGTGGCCTTCTTGAAAGAAAAGCCTGAGGTGTGGCTGGCCGCTGTGGCCCTGTGAATAGAAAATCCAGTCCTCAAGGGTGGCCGTGGTAGTGCCCCACAGGTGGTTGCAGGTGGAGGGCCTGAGTCAGACTTGAACCTGCAGCATTCACTGTCACGGGCTTGGATCTCACCCCTGCCTCTTAGTCTCTCATCTGTGAAATGGGGATTCAAAGACCCAGCCGGTGATGAGTTTCTGTGGTGGAGCGCTGCGAGTGGTGCCGGCACCGTTACCTGTGTGTGCTGGTAGGACTGTTGTTCCCAGGGACCACACCGAGGCCGGCCTTGGGGTGAGGTACCCCTCGGTGTCCCCACCTTTGCATTCCACTCTGCAGGCCCCCCGGAGGGACCACCCAGCCCTGTACAGGGACCTGCTAAGGACCAGCCGCGTGCACTGGATCACGGAGGAGCCGCCTGCAGCGCTGGTCCGGGACAAGATGATGGAGTGCCACTTCCGATTCCGCCACCAGATGGCACTAGGTGACTGACAGGAGGGCTCCTGAGGACGGGCCCCTTGAAGCTGAGCTTCCCGAGGCCAGATTTGGGCCAGGGATGGGAGACACTGGGGTAGGAAAGTCCCGTTGTGGAGATTATTTGGTGATTACCTAAAATATTCAGAACTTCCGTGTTCTGTGCCTGCCCTGAGCGAGGCCTGGGGGTGCTGGGAGCAGATGCAGGCAGGCCCCAGTGTGTGGGGCTGAAGCAAGAGTGTACACTGTCCCGCGGTGTCCTGCTGCGCCCAGAGTCCAGGCTGGGGCTCCTTTTTCCCTGGGGCCCCGAGGTCTGAGGTCGACCAGGCAAGGCCTGTGTCCCCTCCAAGGGCCCCTCTCTTCTACCCAGTGCCCTGCGTGCTGACCCTCAATCAAGATGGCACCGTGTGGGTGACAGCTGTGCAGGCTGTGCATGCCCTTACCACAGGACAGGTGAGTGGGGGGTGAGCCCAGCTCTCACTGTGCTCCAGGAGGACTGCACTGCTCTTCACCATACCAGGGCACCTGGGTTACAGAGGAAGGGCCTGAGGCCCAGAAGTAGGGTGTGCTCGGGTCACACAGCTGGTGACGGCAGAGTGCGACCAGACCTGCCCTGGGGGCTCCTCCCGCAGTGACAACTGTGAGAGGATTTCCACTCTGATGTCACCAACCAGCCAGTTCCTGCTCGGGCCCTGAGAGGCTCAGCTGCTGCCTGGGCCCTAGAAGCGAGGACAGAAAATGGAAGGGGCATGAGGACTGCGCTCAAAGAGGCAGAGGGTTGGGGCCCCTGTGGGCTGAGTGTGTAGGAGCTCTAAGGATGGGCGCCTGGCGTACGCAGGCCTGAGGGCTCTCCAGGGGCAGGTGGCGGGAGAGAACCTGGGTTGAGGGGAGCGGAAGCATCCTCTGGCTGCCACCATGCTACCTCCTGTCACAGCTCCACATTCCCAAAGGCTTCAGAGACCTGCCAGTCCCTGGAGTGGCCCCTGTGACTGTCCCACTCGGGAGAGGTACCCTGACCCTGGAGACCCTCCTGGTGAAGCTGCTGGGTGCCCCAGGCCCCTCCTCTCCTGTTCAGCAGCAGCAGAACCCCTGCTCCCCTGGCAGCTCCGAGGCCCAGAGGGGACCACGCTGCCCCTGCCTGCCCTGGGCTGGCTCCCTGTGGCACCCCTAACGCCAGGGTCTCTCTTCCCTACAGTTTGCTGTGTTCTACAAGGGGGACGAGTGCCTGGGCAGCGGGAAGATCCTGCGGCTGGGGCCGTCTGCCTACACACTCCAGAAGGGCCAGCACAGAGGTGGGGTGGCCATCGAGAACCCCAGTGATGGCCCAGAAGACGGCCCAGGCCTGCGTCCCTTGCCCTGACAGAGACGGAGCTGCTAGAAGGAACCTGGAGAGCAGGCCCAGGGCTGGGTGGCTGGTGAGCAGTCCAGGTCCCCAAGGGCCCAGCTTACTGCTGCCCAAAGCAGAGGAAGCCAGGCTGGTTAAGGGTCCGAAAAGCCTGCAGGGGCCTCGGCGAGCCCCAGGAAGAGCCTCACCTCCAGGCTGCGGCTCTGGCTGCCAGAGCATCTGCTGGCTGGTGGGGTGGCCTGAGTTCCCCTTCACCACCCCCAGGGAGGGTTTCCCACCTCAGAGCACACCGAGGGGACCTGCAGGGGGAGCTGCAGGGACAGCGTGGAATAAACATTCTTTCAAGGACAGAGTCTGACCGCTGCCTCTGCTGGGGCCCGGGGGCTCCACATCACTGACCCCCTGGTGTGGAAAGGCAGGTGGACTGCAGACGCTGCCACGGCAACCTGCGCTCCTTTCCCTGAGGTCCCAGCGGCTCCATCCTCTGCCCCTGTATCTAGGGCTGGGGTCCCTGGTCCTGGACACTGACCAGTGTCCTTGGCTCCCTTCCTCTTGCTGGGCTGGAGCCTTAGCGTGTTGCTGGTGCCTCGAGACAGGTTCCTGTGGGGACCAGAGGTGCATTCCCCTTCTCTGGGTGGGAAGGTTCCAGAGGCAGCCAGGTGGTGCGTCTTGAGGGCCTTGCCCAGATGCCCCGAGTTCTTGCTGGTGCATCAGGGTGGGGGCTGCCACGGGACCCACTGTCCATCCTGACCCCTTCCCTCCCAGCTCCCCACTGGGTGTCCCCTGACCTGGGGCACCCTTCCTTCTAGCCTAGGCCCCCCACGCAGCAGAGAGTGTCCTGAGGGTGAGGAGTGGGCCAGAACTCCACAGGCCAGGTGAGGAAACGGGGCCTGAGGTGGAGCGGCGGCCCTTGCTGGGCTGGGGCGGGGAGGCAGGGGGCGCGGGGTCAGTGCTGCCCTGGCCAGGGGCAGGCCCCAGCTCTACCAGGCAGGCAGAACGCTGGCTGGTGGGACCAGACAGGCTCCTGGGGATCCTTGGCCCAGCTGGGCACGGAGGCTGAGCTAAAAGCGCCGCCTTTGTTCTGCTGCCTCAGCACGGAGCCTCCCTGGGCTCAGGGTTTCCCTGATTTATGGCTGTGGCCGGGCCTCCATCCTGGGAACTGAGGGTGGGAGAGCCCCTGCGGGGCCTACTGCTCTGCCCTAGGCGAACCCTCCCAGGTCACAGAAACATGAGCAGGAGGGAGGAGGGGCAGCCAAGCAGAAGGTGGTGTGGGCACCAGGCCAGCAGGGGTAAGGCTGCCCTCTCCAGTCTCTAGCGGGCTCTGCCGTCCTGCCAGCCTCAGGGCCTACGTGTCGGCCAGTGGAGGAAGCAGGGGCACAAACCTGCCTCTGCCCCTTGGGTCCCCAGGTTCCATGGCGACCGCTTCCTGACTGGCAGTGCTCCCCTCTCTGTAGCATGCACAGTTGCCTGCCCTGCGCCCCCATAAGGCCACTGGCCAACTCTGGAGGGCTTTGGTGCAATGCCTCAGAGATTCAGCAGAAACTGCTGGCCAGGGTCTGGCCTCTTTCCTACCCTCCCCAGCACCCAAGGCTGGCACACTCCAGAGGCTGTGCCCCTCAGATGACCTTTTGAAGACCTGGGGGTCCCCAGGAGCGCAGGCAGGCAGGTAGCCCCTCCTGCCAGCACAGGCACCCCCAGTGGCCTGGCCTTAGCCACTTGCCACACCTGTCCATGAAGATGGTGGGGGAACATCTTCCGGGCCAAGAGCTGGATGCTTGTATACCTACTCCCTGCTTGTAATACAAATGAAAGCAAAGCCCTCGCTCTCCTCTCCCCCATGTTGTTCCAGGATAATCTGTGACACACAGGTCCTAGGACAGTGTCCCCTCACCTCACACCTGGGAGGCTCCTTCCCAAGGCCCTGAGCCGGTTTCAAACACCTTGAGCCTGGCTTCTCCCCAGTCCCTGGCTCCCATGTTGTCCTGTGCCGGAACCTTGCCTGGGCCCAAGCCCCTTCTTGGGGATGTTTCTTTTGTTTTCTTTTCAAGAGACAAGGTCTTGCTCTGTTACCCCGTCTGGAGCACAGTCGTGTGATCACAGCTCACTGGAGCCTTGACCTGGGCCCAAGCACTCCTGCCCTGACCTCCCAAGTAGCTGGGACAACAGGCATACACCACCACACCCAGCTAATTTTAATTTTGTTTTAGAAACAGTCTTGCTATGTTGTCTAGGCTACTCTTGAACTCCTGGCCTCAGGTGATCTTGCCTCAGCCTCCCAAAGCACTGGGACTACAGGCATGAGCCACTGTGCTAATTTTTAGCAGCTAATTTTTAAGAACTGTAGAGATGGGGTCCTGCTGTGTTGCCCAGTCTGGTCTTGAACTCCTGCCTCAGCCAGCCAGTGTTGGGATTACAGACATGAACCACTGCCTGACTCTCCTAGGGGATCTTAACAAGCCGTGTCTCCAGGCTGGGGAGCCCAGGGCGAGGCTGAAGCTGTGACTGAAGCAGCTGTAGTCACCCGTTACCTGGGCTGGGGGAGTCGACGTCCCGTGGCTTGGACGGTGTTTGTGCTGTTATCTGTTCAGACACGATCACAGAGGGGCTTGCTCTGCCCTCATCCATCGCGGTCTGCTGCGGAGGCTCTACGGAGCACTTCGTGGTCCTCACGTGGACATCCTGGCCTGGCTGACAGGCCTGCTCTGGGCTGCCTGGACTGCTTTCTCTCTCTCAGATGCTTCTAGTATTTTCCTGTTAATCGTGGCTTTGGGGCTGAGGTAGAAATATTCTATCACGTTAGCCACCAAGCATTCTGGGATGTAAACATTAGCAGGTGAACTGAGGAGAAAGCAACTTGAAAAATGACCTCAGGCGCAGGGGCGTTCATGGGTTGTTTTTTCTATCTCAGATTTGACCCAGGGTGGCCCTAATCTGCGGTGCTGTGCAGCCAGCACCAGGACAACAACTCCAGAGAGGCCTGGGAAATGGGGGCACTGTGGACCAGAGAGGGTTGGGGTTCCCATTTTTCTCTCTTTGCTGTCACTACTTTTCCTTAAGGTGGGCCCTGTTGGGTGGAAGCGTGAGACGGTGCAGGTGGCTAGAGCGGTGGGAGAAACCCATCTTTCTGGACAGGGAAAACAAGAAAAGGACCCCATAAGTGAGAAAATGCAAGGCAAGTTCCAGCAAGGAGAGAGCTGGAGAAGGGGGACCCCCAAATTCTCCACGTGTGTTGAAACACACCCCTGCCCCACCCCACCTGTGAGTGCAGCCAACAACCCAAAACAGTATAGCCAAGGCCGAGGGCTGACCTGGGGGTGGACCTGCTGCTCGTGGAAAGAGAGAACCAGTGGTCAGAACCTAACCAGGTTGCCTGCTGCTGAAACACATGAAATGACACTTACAGCAACGGTGTGAACAACCCAGAGTCTAACCTAACATTCCACATGACGAGTGAGGGTTCAACCTGCAGTTACTCAGCACACACAGAACCAGGAAAACGCAAACAGAAAAGTGATTTCAGCCCCAAGATGCTCAAATGTTCAGATTATCCCAGAATTCACAGCAGCCCTAGTTACAACCATGCTTCATGAAGTAAAGGTGAACACTCTTGGAATGAGTGGAAAACGAAGTGCCCAGCAGAGAAATAAAAAGGAACCTAATGGAAATTTTAAAACTCATTGAGTATTTGAAATAAATTCACTGGGTGAGTTCAGTATCAGAATTAAGATGACAGAAGAGAAAAATCAGTGAACTTGAAGATGGAGCACCAGAAATCACCAAATGAAGGACAGATAGAAAAGAACGAAGAAAGATGAACAGAGCCTCAGGGACCAGTGGGAAAACGTCAAGAGGTCTAACATCCGAGTCACTGGAGTCACAGAAGGAGAGGAGAAAGATCAGTACAAGAAAAGAAATAATGGCAAAAAATTCCTGAAATTTGGTGAAAGACAAAAACTGCCCATCTAGGCTGTGGCAGGCCTACCAGGGAGTGGAAAGTTCCAGCACAACATTCCACTGGCTGAGGGAGCATGGGACGTGGACAGCTCAGCTGCACATCCGTAAACCATCCCTTCCACGGCCACCTTGGGCGCGGGGAGGGGCGGGGGTGTTTGTGGAGAAAAACCAGCACTGCAGAAGTACAAATTCAAAAATCTTAATTTATTGTAGACTCTTCTCATTTGTAATTCCAGTGTTTTGAACATTAATAAATACACATCTGTTAAAAACCTCCAGTGTCTAATCTCTCCCATAAAGTCTTAATAAAAATAAGTTTACATTTTGCCTGTCTCAATAAAACTGACAGTTGTTTTTTGGTAACAGTTCTGACCAAATTAAAAATTACACCTCATGATGTTGGCTGTGGAGTATGTGAAAAAAAAAAATAGAACAAAACAAAAAATTACACCTCAGGGGGTGGAATCCTGTTAAAGTCATGAAAGCAGACTGTTCGAAGACTTCAAGACCTTTTCGTACTTAGGAAACACCAGTGGCAAACGTTTAAAGGGACTAGAGTTTTGTATCTTCGAAAGACCACTCACCTGGTAAGGCACATGTATAATTCATTCAGGTGTGAGGACTTGGGGATCTCATTTCATCCTCCTGTCTGGACCATTTTCAGATACGCTTTTCCTCTCACAGGCATCTGCTAACAGTGCTCACATTTTCATCAGGGTCAGGTTTAAAACTTAGTGTGGATATCTTTGCATTTTACTTGATGTTCATCCTATTTTATGGTTTCTCCTATTTGGAAGCAGCTGTGCTGATCACTTATTTGGGCGCCTGATTTGAAGAACAAAAGAAACGCTAAAATCAAACATGTCTGACAGTTCCGGCCGTTCCACAGCCCCTCGGGCCACACTGTGCCAGCTGCCTGCCTGCAGTGGGCCCGACCTTGGTGTGAGTTTCCAAAAACAGTTTGGTAACCATTGAAGGCTGTGGCTTTGTCCCTCTGCACAATTGGCCATCTGAAGCAAAATGAAGTAACTGGTCAGACGCCGGGCATGGGGTGGGAACCCGTGCCCCGGGAGATCCTCGGAGTCTCAAAGAGCTAGAGAACTGGCAGGAGGGATGTAATGGCCTGGAGGGCCCCATACCTGTGTCCAAATCAGGAACCTGCAAGACTTTAAGGTCCCAGGTCCCACGGGAAGCAGGAGCAAAGGAGAAATCCATCCCCACCTGCAGCTGCCAGGCCACCTGGGAGGGGGTGGTGGTCAGGGAATGACCAGATGAAAAATGACAGCCGTGTGGCAACCATGCCCCACAGTGACCTCAGCAAGGCTTCTCACACCTGCCTAGTCCTGCACTGCCCCATCTTAAATTCACACAGCCAGGGCAGAGGGCAAACGCATGCACAGCGAATACCAGGGACCCAGGGGGCCGGCGGGGAGGGCCCATGCCATCCTCGCTTCCTGGCCAAAGGCAGCTATAGGGCTTCTAACTGCTTGGTTTTAGCCCCACTGCTGACATATTTTCCACCTTTGATCTGCTGGGGTACCAGTTTCGTCAACACATGCCAGATTCAAGTACAACTGTGCAATCTTTACACGGAAGACAGCAAGGGATCATCGCATGGATCTCCTGGGATAACAAAGTCAGCACGAATGCAAAATATATACAGGTTTCACCTCCTCAGAGTCCAATACAAATATATAAAAGTATCTACAGCTTTCCCACATAGTGATTTTAAGACAAGGGGTGCCTTTGCAAAGGGCTGCCGGGCTTCCAGCCAGGCGTCTGCACTGCCATGAGATGCCCACCTGGGCGGGGCTGGACCACAGTCTTTGGTCTGTGCCTGGCGTTCCTGAACTCTGGGCAGCCTCTGGGCCCTGTCTGGGGTCCCCTCGCAGATCTGGCTCTGGCTGCAGTCTTAGGATCCAGCGGTGCTGGCCCAGTGGTCTGCGCCTCCCTCATGCCTGTGGCCTTTGGCACTTGTCACCAGGTCTGACAGGCCCTGAGCTCCTGGGAGAGCCAAGACCTTTGTGTCTGGATGACCAGTCCGGGGGCTGCCACCGTGGGGACCGCCACACTCTGGGCCCACTCCACTTCAAGGGCAGTGGCCCCTCGGGCTCCAAGCTCTGAGGGCTCAGTGATGCCGTAGCCTGTGTGGGGGTGACGGGCTTGCCTCACGGTTTCCTGATGGTTCAAATTGAAGTTTCATTACTGCCTCTGCGCATGGGAAGAAGCCATCAAGCAGGTGAAGGGTCAGTGAGGGTAGTGGCTGGGTGGGGCCCAAGGTCACACAGGGGCAGGATCCCCCCATCAGGGTAGAGGGGGCGTCTAGGGGCTCCAGGGAGGGCAAGCTCATGTTGGATGTTGCTGCCTTTGGGAGGCAGGAGAGGGGACCAGGACTAGCCCATGGGCTTCTCTGCTGCCGGTCTCTCAGCAGAGCACAAGGAATCAGCGTTAGAAACCGGCCATCTCTATGGTGACTTTTGGGAGGGGCATCCTGAAGACCTGGCTTCTCCCTTGTAAGTTTGGAAGGAGGGAGGAGGGGCCAGGACCCCAGCTCCAGCCCGCCCCCTTCACCCCGGGCATTCCGGGACCCTCAGTATCCTTAGTTGCAAGGTGGGTGGCAGTGGTCCAGAGCGGAGACAGTGCTGATCAAATGCAGAGCCCAGCACTTTAGGTCCTAGCATTTCGGGGCTGGCCAGGGCTTCAGAGTCCCAGAGGCCTGAGACGTGCCCCCAGGATAGGGGGGTCTGCTCATCTCTGGGGGATCCCCCTGACCTCAGCTGCAGCACACCCCCCTACAACCCCGCATCCCTGCCTGGGCTTCCTCTGCACTCAGGGCTCCAGGTGAGATGGGTGCCAGGTCCCTGACCGCTGCCCCCTTTCTCTCCTGACTCAGGACAAGGGGGAAGTGGGTGACCACCGCTCTGAAGGCCCGGGCTACTCACTCGGAGTCTGAGCCGTCGGCCTGGACGCTCCCGGTGCGCACGTTCATGGCCACCCCGTTGAGGTGCTCACGCCCCGGCTCCCTCCCGGGGTTCTTGACGGTGATGGCGCAGTCGGGGCCGCCAGAGCCCAGGGAGGACGTGCACGAGGATGTGGGGCTCTGCTCACAGTCGGCCAGCTTCTCCCGGAGCCGGCCCTTCAGCGTCTGCTCTGTCAGCATCAGCGGCGGTGGGTAGGTGACTTTATTTTTCAAGATGCCTGGGAGGAGGAGGCGCAACAAGGTCACATCCGGGTGATGCTGCCAGGGACAGCTGCTGGGCTGCGTGCATCGGAGCCAGCCTCAGCCCCTGTCCTTCCTCCTGGATTCCCAGGTCCCAGGGCTAGGCCGGAAGGCCACGTCTGTTCTGCCCAGGCCCTGACCTGCCCCACCAGCCCCACCCCCACCTCTGAACCAGGGACTGGCCCTTCTGGGTCCTCCAGCCTTTCACTGCAGCCCCGGCTTCCCCAGGCACCTTTCCTCTGCTCTGGAGGCTGGCAGCTAGCAGGCCTGGCCGTGCCCCCGCTCTCCCGGTCTGGGGGATTCTCTCCACGGTGACTGCCCTGCTCCTCGCGGTGCAGCTCCACGCTGACCTTGGTCTCCACCTTCAGGCGGGGCTGGCCGCCTGGGTCCTCACTGTCACTCTCAGCCAGGCTCTGGTCAGGCCAGGTGGCCAGAATGTGGTTGGCCACGGCATCCCCTGAGGCATGAGAGCGGTGCTCAGCAGACAGCAGCACTGCCACTCGAGCTGCGCCCCTGAGAGCCATGGCTCTGGCAGGTCCCGGGTGGCTCTGACCCACCTCTCCCCAACCTGTAGGCCTGGTAGGGCTGAACCCTAAAGGTGGGGAAACTGAGGCCCAGGAGGGAGAGTCCTGGCAGCAGGGCCCTTGCTGGGATCCCCCGCTGCATCTGTACCAGTAACCACACATGGCTATCCACCCCCGGCAGCCTCACCTGGACCTTGCAGTGACGGTCCACAGAGAACCCCTGAGATTTCCTGCCTCTGCTCCAGGGATTGGCATGGAGGAGCAGAGGCTGTGGGGGAACCCAGCCAGAGTCCCCCCTACCCCAGGCTGTCCTTTCATGTGGCTGCAGTGCTGCTGGGCATATCTTGGGAGGAAGGGACCCAGCCATGGCCAAGACCTGCCCCGAGCCTGCTGTCCACAGCCCAGCCTGGCCCAGTGTGCCCCACACGCTCACCTTTAGGGGTGCTATGGATGGCGCCCCTGGTCGGGTCCCATTTTTCCTCAGCCCCCACCCCGTCGTCCTCGCTGTCTGACGAGTGTGAGGAGGCATAAGAGCTGCTCTGCTCATCCAGGGACAGCTCGCTATCTGAGTCGGAATCATGGCCTATGGATGAGCGAGGAACAGGGAGGCTCAGGCCCTGGGAGGTGCAGGGGTCCCACCGAGGCCAGGTAGAGCCACTGGGCCCCTGGCATGCTGACACTGCGCATGGCGAGGCTGCTAGTGCTTCTTCAGGGGCGGAGTCTCCAGTGACCAAAAGGATGTGGGAAAAACCACCCCGGGGATCCTCCCCCTCCGGGGAAGCCATACCAGGGGGGTCCTTGGAGCTCCTGGGCACGAAGGATGCGTCTGGCTCTCCGTGGCTGCCCCGCACCAGCCCAGAGGACACGCTGAGCTTCTGGACTCCTTCATCCCTAGAGAGGCCGGGGAAAGGTGGGGCTCAGTATCATCCCTCAGGGGACAGGAAGTGCTGGAAAGTTCTCCGGAAGATTCTCTGTCCCCACCCTTCTGTGTTACCATCAAGAGCACAGACAAAAGAGGCTCCCAGTGTGTGGGGGAAGGTGGTAGGGGAAAGGTTGCGGGGGAGAAGGTTGGCGGGGGGAAGGCGGTGGGGGAAAGGTTGTGGGGGAGAAGGTCGGCGGGGGAGAAGGTCGGCGGGGGAGAAGGCCGGCGGGGGGAGAAGGCCGGCGGGGGGAGAAGGTCGGCGGGGGGAGGGCCGGCGGGGGGAGAAGGCCGGCGGGGGGAGAAGGCCGGCGGGGGGAGAAGGTTGGCGGGGGGAAGGTGGTGGGGGAAATGTGATGTTGGTTGAATGGCAGGACATAGATGGGGGTGGCGCCAAAGCCTGAGGGAGCTCGAGAGCTACCTCCCCGAACCTGGATCTGCAGCCTGACCTGACAGTGCTATCCAGCGAGGCGGTGGACTCGCCCAGGTCCGTGCGCAGCATGTCGGGCCCATCGCCGAAGGTGGTGTTGCAGTTGAGGGAGCGCTAGGGGGAGGCGAAGGGCTGGTCACTGCCGGGTGGAGGCCACCACATGACCACCACGGGGGATGACTCTGTCCCCACGGCAACCCCCCCACACCCACACCCTGGCTGGGCCCCTCCCCAGCACACAGGAGGAGCCAGCCCCAGTCAACCCTCACTGCAAACAAGAGCCTCCTGGCAGCTGAAGGAAGCGCATCCTGGCCCACACTGTGGTCAGGGTTGCTGCCCTCCCTACAGCCACTGCTTCTGGTCAGGGTCCTTGGTGGTCCTGGCCCCCTCTTTCTAAGGCCTGGAAAAGCAGGGCTAGGACGCGACCGAGGCCCCATCTGGCCGATTCTACCACTCTCTGGTTCTGATGCTGGCAGCCATACCGTGCTCCGTGGGTGGCTCTGCTATCCCCACCATGAGGGGCACACAGGCTGCGGGGCTGGGGCTGACGCGCGATACTCCTCCCTCACCACTCAAGATGCCGCCCAGCTTCCAGTCCCGCGGTGTCCCGGGTGCCTCTTACCGTCAGCAGGGTGGCCCTGGTGGTGGTGGAGTCCTCCAGGTGTAGCTTCCTCCCGCCGAGCACACCCTTCAGGTGCTTCCGGACCTCCTGGTTAAGCACGCAGTGGAAGAGGAGGACGAAGGGGCCCTGGAGGGAGGAAGGCGGGGTCAGCACCTGCTGCTGCCTCCCTAGGCACCTGCCCTTAGGCGCCCCAGCACAGATGCGCACACAGCCTCGAGTGCACACTGCCAGGCCGCGGGGCCCAGGACACAGCCAGGCCTCCCCTCCTCAGGGACTGCTGCTATTCTCGGGGGCAGGTTGGGGAGCTCAGAAACTGAGATGCCTGGGCTGGGCCTCCGGCGTGCTGGAGGCATTGAAGGCCCCAGCTCAGACCAGAGTCTTCTGGGCACTCCTTCCACAGCCCTCGGGGCCCTCTGGTGTCCCCGCTGTGTCGTAAGTCCACTTGCTGGCCAGCCCTTAGTATGACCAGAAATGGCCACTTGTGATCCCTGGAGACACAAGTGGACTTGTGCTGGCCTGGCACTGGGGTCATCGTCCCCAAACACAGTGGGGAGGAGGCACCAGGCCCTGTGCTGGTTGCAAAAGGGGCTAAGTCCTTGCAGCCACAGGAGGATACCACATGAGGCCCAGGCAGGGCTGGTTTGAGACCGCAGGCCTCCACTGCCTTGCATCACAGCAACGGTGCCACGGCGGCCAGGCGGCAGCCCCGCAGGCAACTCAGCCGCCACCTACCTGTAAGCCACTGAAGATGGCAAAGAGGTAGTGGAAGCTCAGTGCATCGAGGTTCACAGCCAGCAGCCCCAGCAGCCAGGTGGCGCTGATGAGCAGCAGCAGGAGGAAGGCGGTCCTCAGCAGGGAGCTGCGGGAGAGCAGGATCAGGCCTGTGCCCACCGCCACCCCCTGTTCCCTTCCTCCCTCCCTCCATCCCTCTCGCGCGTCCGCCCATCTGTCCATCCGCCTGTCCACCCAGCCATCATCCACCTTGCTCCCTTCCTCCCCCGTAGCCAGGAACGGACTCATCCGGGAACCAGACAGAGCTTGTGTTAGTGGGGATGGTGGTGGAACAAATTAGGAAGCAAATAAATGACAAAACAGGAGCCGTGATGACTACACCAGGCCAGGGGGCCTGAGCCACGCCCATGGCTGCACTAGCTCCTGTGAGACACCTGTGGAGAGGCGAGAGGAAGAGCCCAGGGCCTGCCCTTGACGAGCTGTGACACTGCAAGCAGCTTCCTGAGCTCTGCCTCAGTCTCCCCATCTGTAAAAGGGGAAGGCAAAGGCGCATCCCCTCCCAGGGTTCAGAGGGGATGGAGTGAATCAGGGTGACAGAGCCCGCAGGTCCACAGGTCAGGGATGGCACTAAAGATAAGGAACTGACAAGGCCCCAGACCCCCCATGTAATCCCCACATCTGGCCTTCCAGGCCACTCACCACCCCTCCCTCTCCACCCTCCTGGGCCGGGAGCCTTACACTCCTCCTGGCAACCCAGCCCCCATGCAAGCATTCTCCCTTCGCCCATCCCTGGCTCAGTCCCATCTGTCAGGTCACCAGCAGCTGTCACGTCACCAGCAGCTGCCAGGTCACCAGGGGCCACCTGGTTGTCTGACAGATGCCCCTGTCATCCCCTCCGGACCCTGTCATGGCTCCTGAACGCTGTGCTGAGTCCTCCCACAGTGCCACCTGCTCCTTTGGGGGCCTCATAGGTTCCCTCTCCTCCCTAGAACACTGGAGGTTCCCTCCGTGCTGGGCCCCTGTTCCGCTGCACCCTCTGATGGTGGGGCTGGGAGGGGGGCCTCCACTCCAGTGGCCCCAGCAACACCCGCAACACCCTCATCACCCATCAGTAAGTTCCATCTCCCCCACCCCACCCATCTCCACCCTGGTGATTCCAGGCAGCCCAATGCTTCCGTGCCAGGCGGGAGGGACTGAGGCCCAGGGTTGGCTGCCAGCTCCCTCCCCTCAGCTAACCTCCCCCAACTCCCCTCCCCTCAGCTAACCTCCCCCAGCCCCTGCAGATGCAACGTGGGAAACCCTGGTGCTCACCCAGCTGCCCCCAGCCCTCCTCCATGAGGCCCACATGCCCTCGTGGGGCCCCACCCCACAGAGACTGGACATCGGGGTCTCAGGGCCCAGCTGACATGGCTGGCCGGTCAGGTTCTGCCCCACTTACACGATCCCTTTTTTCCCATAATAATGGTGTTTTCTTTGGCAGGAAACCTTTGCAGATAGGACAGAAGTGACTGTGTTGATCTGAAAACAAAACAAGCCGATCGATGTCAGGTGGCAGACTCTTCAGTCTTGTCACTGCAGACCTTCAACTGCCAAAAGCACCTGAAGCCCTTTGCCCTGCATCTCAGGAAGGGGTGTCTGGGTGAGGAGGACCCGAGCCCTGGCCTGTGGGACCAAGCACAGCTGTCCACCCACTGCCCCACAGGGCCCACCACACCCAGCCTGCCTGTGCAGGACCCTCCTGGGTGCTGGACGCAGACGGTCTCCTGTGGACACGACGCGAGACCCGAACCCACGATCAGAGGGCGAGGTTGGGGAGGGGCCTGGTGGCTTTGCTGTCACAAGATGGCCCTTCCTGCCCCGCTTTGGCTGCTCAGAGGAGTTGGCGGCCCCAGCCAGCCCAGAGCAGTCCTTCCAGCTGACGCATGCTCGGAGCACCCGGACTCCGTGAAGGCCCCACACTCACAATTATAACGGCTCCGATGGGCCCCGCAAAGCTCCAAATCAGCGTGTCTTGCAGGGACAGCCAGCAGAAGTCCGGGTTTCCGTAGCCCTGGGGGTCCAGGCCGACCGCCAGTCCTGAACACAGCGGGGAGGAAGGGAAGGGTGAGGGCCGCGTGCCCAGTGGCCACCCCGTGCCAAGGACCAGCCAGGGTGGGCTGAAATGGGGGACTCAGCATGTCCCTTCTTAGAGGAAAGAGCAAGGAGTTTGGGGAGCCAGCCCAGGGACCCTCTGAGCACAGTCTCTCCGTGTGGGGTCTCAGGCTCACCAGCCCAGGTGGCAGAGGCCTATCTGGGCCGGGGGCTGCTGAGGAAGACCAGAGACCCTGGAGGGTGGCAATGAGATGGTGCAGGAGGGATCATGAAGGCAGACGGTGCTTGGGAGGGCCCTGCCAGCTGGGACATGTAGAGGTCAGAAGGCTGTGATGGACCCAAGGTGCAAGGGATGAGGCCCCAAAACAGATGGAGGACGGCGTCACATACGGGGGCCATATGTGAGCGGGTGGGGGACGCATACGCCCCCTTACCACATCCAACCATGTGCACATGCCATACACACGTACATACCCTATACACATGCATGCACACACACAGTGTGCAGACATGCATCACAGATATACATACCATACACATGTGTACACCACACACACCCCCGAAACTGCCTCAGCACTGGGCTTGCTATGTGAGCTGCCTGTTTAAATAGGAGTTGCCACTCCTAACCATCGTGTGACAAGCCAGATCCACCTGTCCATGCAGAGCATCAAGGTGACACTTGGGACAGAAGCAACCAGCAGGTGTGACCTGGTCTTTCTGTGCCCCTCGCCCCACCCTGGCCTAGGCTATGCTCCTCCCCATTCTCCTTAAATATTTAAAAGATCCCGGCTCCCTGCTGCTTAACACCCTCCAGGACTTCCCACTGTCCTTTGGAGGAGCCAGTTAACCAGGACCACCCAGGACAGTCAGGGAAGCCCCAGATGGCCGGGCGAGGCAGCGGCCACTGACCAGCGTCTGCAGCTCAGTCTGAGGCTCCCCGGGAGTTGTTTTAAGATCTTGTGCGAGACAGACCTAAGTGTTAAACACCACAAACCAAACCAAAACCCGTTTTTAAAGCAAGTAGGAAACGTGAGCTATCTGGACTTAGAATCCAAAGGGCAGAGGCATTGCAGAGACCTGCTTTGCCTGGGCATCGAGGCAGCTTTTACACAAAGCCATACGAGCCCCTTTCTAGGCCACATTCTTCATCTCAGCGTCTCTCACAGTAAGCACCTAATCTAGGCAGGTATGGCCTGTCACGTCAGGAAGTGGCAGCTGCTACCTCGCCCAACCTGCCCCCACCTCAGCGGCCCTGGGGGGAGGTGAAAAGGTTAGGGGTTCTTCAGGGTCCCTTGGAGTAAGGGAGATCAGTCACATCGGAACACCCTAGCCAGAAGCCTGCCTAGTTGGAGGCTAGTCAGTGACATCGCTGTGGAGACCAGGACAGTCCAGCAAGTGACCATGGCACTGGCCCCAGGGTGGCTGCTGGGTGCTGCCCTGGGGGCAACTCCCCCCACCCCAATGACTCTGGCCTCAGACTGCATCTAATCCCCAGAACCCAGGGATTACCCAGGAAAAGGGGTTCTTCTTCTTGTGAATAAAGGTGGATCTTTCTCAGTAGGGAGCAAACTGACTTTGATTTTTAGCAAAATGTGTGCTGAGGAAGTACTGTTTGTTCTACTCACTGATTCACTATTCATTCATCCATCCACTCACTCATCACATCCACGCACTGCACCCACCCAGCCACTTAATTTCATTGTCATCCATTAGCTACCCATCCATCCACCCACCTATTTCATCCATCCCTCCATCCATCCTATCCATCCACTCATCCACTCACCTCTCCATCCCTCCATCCATCTACCTATCCATTCACTCACTTATGCAATCCATCCATCCACCTATTTCTCCATCCCTCCATCCACCCACCCACCCATCCATCTGCTCACTCACTCATTCCTCCATCCACCCACTCACCCCTAACCATCCATCATCTACCCACTCACTCAAACCCCACCCACCCACCCATCCACTCACTCACCCCAATCCATTCATCCATCCACTCACCCCATCCATCTATCCACTCATTCACCCCTCTACCCATCCATCCACTCACCCCATCCATCTATCCATCCACTCACTCACCCCTCCACCCATCCATCCATCCTCTCACTCACCCCATCCATCTATCCATCCACTCACTCCTCATCTATCCATCCACTCACCCATCCATCTATCCACTCACTCACCCATCCATCCATCCATCCATCCATCCATCCATCCATCCACTCACTCAACCCCCATCCATTCATCCACTCACTCACCCCATCTATCCATCCACTCACTCATCCATCCATCCACACTCACTCACCCTCCATCCATCCATCCACTGACTCACCCATCCATCCACTCACTCACCCCCCGATCCATTCATCCATTCACCCCCCCATCCATCCAGCCACTCACTCACCCATCCATCCATCCATCCATCCACTCACTCACCCCATCTATCCATCCACTCACTCATCCATCCATCCACTCACTCACCCCCCTATCCATTCATCCATTCACCCCCCATCCATCCAGCCACTCACTCACCCGCCATCCATTCAGCCACTCACTTACCCCCAATCCATCCAGCCACTCACCCCCCATCCATCCATCCATCTACTCACCCCCTACCCATCCATTCCATTCATCCTCTCACTCACCCCCCCATCCATCCACCTGCCCACTCATGCACTCACTTGCTCTTCCCTCCATCCCTCCCGTGCACAGACGTGGAACTTTTGTCTGTTAGGTGCTGCAGAAATAACCCTGAACAGACCTGGACCCAGCTCTCAAGGAGCTCACACCTTACAGAAGACGTTGCCCCAGGTGTCTGCAATTGCCCCTGTGCGTGCAGACAAGTATGCAGGGCCGGGGCCTCCTCTGCTGGGGGCTGGACAAGCATTGGGGCTGGGCAGGGAAGAGAAAGGAGGACAGCTCTCCTGCACAGCTGGGTCTTTTGGAAATCTGTGTTTTTATGCACTCCACTCTGTGCATCCTCACCTGTGACAATGGCCGGGATGCCCCAGCCCACGACGTAGTAGAACCGCATGGGCCCCGTGTCGATGTTGCGTGCCTCAGTCAGCATGCGGTAGACATGCAGGCTCTCCACGAGGGTCCAGGCAAAGGTGCTCATGTAGATGTAGTGGAGGAGGATGGCGACCACCGTGCACAGGAACTGCGCAGGGAGGGGCCGGACTCAGCGAGGGCCCCTGCATCCCAGGCTGAGGCCAAACAGGCATGAGTGAGGGGTGGGGGGTGGGAGAGCTAACAATTCGGACCACCCTACGTGTCTGTCCTCAGCTGAGCAGGGCTACGTGTCTGGCCAATGGCTGAGAGCCAGGAATTGAAAATCAACATCACAGGGCAGCTGAGCCAGCAGGTGAGCGAGCCCTGCCTGTCTGGACACAGAAAGCGGCATGAGAATGACAGAGAGACCAGCCTCCGAGGCCACAAACACAAACCCAGTCGCACAAGCCCCGGAACTGCACTTGAAGATGTGGCCCCGGGGCAGCTTCACACCCAGTGCTCTGGAAGGGCTGAGGGGCAGCTTTGCACTCAGTGCTCTGGGAGAGGCTGCCCCAGTCAGTGCTCCCAAAACTGCCGCCGGCTGGGAGAGGATGGCAGGCTCCCCTCTAGGTCCCTGGAGGCTGAACCAGCCAAATGGGAGATGGGGGAGAGAGGGAGATGGGAACGATGGGAACACTGGGAACACTGGGAACACTGGGAACACTGGGAACACTGGGAACACTGGGAGGGTCCCACCCCGACCCCACTCCCAGCCGGCCTGCTCTGGACACACTGTCTAATCCTCAGTAACCATCCCATCAGTCCACCCTACCAGGGGGTCCCAGGGAGACAGCCTTTAACAGACACAAAAGCTTAGGAGGAGAAGGAGAGCCCCCATCTCAACCCCAGGCTGAAGGCCACTTTGCTCAGGCACCGGGTCATGGCAACCCAAGGGCACCCCTGTTGCCACATCAGCCTCAAAGGGCCAGCCACCCTCCACAAACAATGCCCCTGAGGTGGGAAGGGTCCCAAGTCAGCATCATATCTGTCAGCTTCAGAACAGAGCAGGAACCAAAGCAGAGAACGCAGGCTCAAGCTATGCCAGAGGCAGGCCCTTTGCCTCAGACCACACGCTCGACACAAGGCGCCAGCATATGGCTGGTGAACCCTACACCAAACACCCCAGTTTCCTGGATGGAAATCACACTGGCTTAGGAAAAGGAAGGGGGCGAGAAGGTTGGTTGGCTGGATGGCTGCTTTAAATAATGTGAAAAGTAAATCCACAAAACCACCTTCTCAAAACAGAAACTGCGAGGACTGTGCCATCCTGGCTGCAGCAGGGTTGTACCTGCTTCTGTAACCAACGTACCACCTTTTCCAGAAATACAACAAAGACAAAGCGGATGCATAATAAATCATTTCAGCCTGCCAGCGCTCTGAGAGATGAAAAACCTCGCCCAGAGATAGGGTTGTGGGTTTACAAAAAAACCATAAAGCCCAGGCACGCTGCCAAGCCCCTAGAAGGCTGCCGGGGCGCCCTTTCCTTCTCCGTGCTCAGCCGTGCGTGGCTGCCGGGACAGGGCTCACTCCGGCGGGAGATGAGTCAGTGCTGGAACCCAGGGACCGCCTCGGTTTTGCTGGTGGTGTTGAGTTGCAGGGAGTGGCCTGCACAGACTCCCCTCTCCCCCGTTCACGCCACTCAAAAGCACACTAGAGGGGTTTTGAGATGAATCGCACACTTCTCGAGAGCCTTCCCGGTCCAATGCGCGGATGAGAACATGCCCATTGCGCGGATGCGCCTGGCTGCGGGTGTGACGGCATCCCTCCGCAGGAGCAGCGACCCTGCCATTCGCGCCCCGCACACAGAGCCCCCGCCAGCCCAGGGCCTCAGCCTCCGGGAACACCTGGGAGGCAGCGGGGAAGGTTGGCCCTGGCTGGTCCGACACACGCCTCGAAGCTCGTCCTTTGTGGGCCTGGCCTGGTGCTCCACCTACTGCTGCTGGGAAGCCATGGAGCCTTCTCAAGGGTGACCTGCGAGGTGGGGGTGCCCGCCTTCCTTCTTGAGGTGAGAGGGGTCTGGTCCCACTGCTTGCCATAAAAAAGGAGGAGCAGCTCTGGTCTGCACGTGGCCCTGAGCAGCTTGCTGGAAAGTTCCAGCTTGGTCTTTTTATTCCATTTCCCTTCCCAGGGCCTGTCCACCCCCCGAGACACCCTCTCCACCCACGAGTTGGAGGCAGCCTCCCCGGCTCACGTGGCACAGCTTCCTTGGCCTCCACAGGTGCCCCATCTCACCCAGACCTTGCCTGTCAACATGTGGTATCGCCGGGCGCGGTGGCTCAAGCCTGTAATCCCAGCACTTTGGGAGGCCGAGGCGGGCGGATCACAAGGTCAGGAGATCGAGACCACAGTGAAACCCCGTCTCTACTAAAAATACAAAAAATTAGCCGGGCGCGGTGGCGGGCGCCTGTAGTCCCAGCTACTCAGGAGGCTGAGGCAGGAGAATGGCGGGAACCCGGGAGGCGGAGCTTGCAGTGAGCCGAGATCGCGCCATTGCACTCCAGCCTGGGCAACAGCGTGAGACTCCGTCGCAAAAAAAAAAAAAAAAAAAAAAAAAAAAAAAAAAAAAAAAACATGTGGTATCTTCATCTACTCATTCCTCTCCCTTCTGGAGACATCAAAGTCCCCTGACTCCTCCTCCCTGCCTGCTCCATAATGGGTTGGTCCTGTCCCTCCTTTCTCCTTGTGCCTCCACCCCACCCTCCCAGGCCTGTGCGTTACCATCAGACTGCTCTGATCTTCTGCCTGTAGTCCACTGTTGCCAGACTCCTGTTTCTTTTTCCTTTTTTTTTTGGAGACAGGGTCTCACTCTATTGCCCAGGCTGTAGTGCAGTGGCACCATCTTGGCTCACTGCAAACTCTGCCTCCCAGTTTCAAGCGATTCTCATGTTTCAGCCTCCCAAGTAGCTGGGATGACAGGTGCGCACCACTATGCCCAGCTAATCTTTGTATTTTTAGTAAAGACAGGGTTTCACCATGTTGGCCAGGTAGGCCTCGAACTCCTTGACCTCAAGTGATCTGCCTGCCTCGGCCTCCCAAAGTGCTAGGATAATAAGTGTGAGCCAACATGCCAGCCTAATTGTTTCTCATAACATGCCTACAGACTATTTTAGATTTTTCCATGAGATCCTTCATGTTACCTAGTAATGACAGCTTTGTTTCTTCCTTTCTGATCTCTATGCTTTTGTTTTCCTTGTTCATCACACTGGCAAGGCCGCCCTGCACCACAGTGATGAACAGAGCGGTGAGTGGGCTCCTGACGTTACAGGGGATGCCTCCAGTATCTACCCATTGTTATTTATGTCAACTGTAGGTTTTCTGTAGATGTCTTTATTAGGTTCAAGTTTCCTCTAGGCCCAGTCTGTTCAAAGGTTTCTTTCTCTTTGTTCATTAATGAGCATAACATTAATCAAAATTCTTTTGTACATTCATTTCTGAGAAAAATATTTTTCCCTTAAATGTACTGGTGATGTAAATGGCATTCATAGATTTTTTTAAATGTTAAACCATCCTTGCATTCCTAAGATAAACCCAGCCTGGCCATGGTTTTTATACTGCAATGCAAATTCTCTAATGGTGATAGGAGTATTCAGGCTTTCTACATCTTAAATCATTTTGTTTTGTTTTGAGACAGTCTCGCTCTATTGCCCAGGCTGGAGTGTAGTGGTTCCATCTCTGCTCACTGCAACCTCTGCCTCCCAAGCTCAAGCAATTCTCCTGCCTCAGCCTCCTGAGTAGCTGGGATTACAGGTGCCCGGCACCAGGCCCAGCTGATTTTTGTATTTTTAGTAGAGATGGGGTTTTACCATGTTGGCCAGGTCTTCCTGACCTCAAGTGATCTGCCTGCCTCAGCCTCCCAAAGGGATCCTGGTGGGCTTTACAGGTAGGAGCCACTGCACCCGGCCCTTAAATCAGTTTTGACAAAAGTTGTATTTTCCTGGGGATGTACACAAGAATCGCTTGAACCCGGGAGGTGGAGGTTGCAGTGAGCTGAGATCGCGCCATTGCACTCCAGCCTGGGTTGACAGAGCGAGACTCTATCTCATAAAAAAAAAGAAAAAGAAAAGAAAAGGGCCCCTCATCTCCCAATAGAGTCAAGGTGGTGAAGTGCTTGGACCTGCCAGTGAATCCCACGTCTCCACCCACAGCCTGTGACATGGCACGTTCCTCAAAGGGCATCTGTGAAGCGGAGGTGGGGGTGGTGAGGAGCCAGCCAGGGTGCTTGGAGTGGCCAGGAAAAGACTACGGTAGCCGCTCCAAGGTGCGGCCCAGACAGTGGGGAGGGGAGCAGAGTGGCCGTACCGGGTTTTCCGTCTGGTTGATCCCAATCACGAACACCAGCTGAGAGAGGAACAGTGCCGCAGCGAGGTGCTTGTGAATGCTGTGCAGGTTGGAGCGCAGTGTGCGGACCAGGCTCAGGAGGACGAAGGCCACCAGCAGGGCCGCCAGCGACAAGGACATGGCGGCGTAGGTGACGATCTTCAGGGGCAGGACCTCCCCATTCTGTGGGTGGGAGGGTTAAAGGCAGGAGAGAAGGGCCAAGACTCAGATCTGGTCGTTGCATAATAGAGACAAATTACACACTTGCTTATTAAATGATCAAAGGTTGGCAGGAACCAGCGTGACTAGGATATGGTTCTCAGGGCGGCACAAAACAAGCACAAAGTGGCAATGAACAGTGTGGGGTGACAACAGGTTCTGGAGGCGGATGGTGGTGATGGCGGCACAGCAACAGGCTGTGCCACCAGCTTAATGCCACTGGCTGTACATTTCAATGGGAAATTGTGTTATGCATATTTTGCCACATTACAAAACAACCATACTGGCCAGGCATGGTGGCTTATGCCTGTAATCCCAGCACTTTGCGAGGCTGAGGCGGGCAGATCACCTGAGGTCAGGAGTTTGAGCCCAGCCTGCCCAACATGGTGAAACCCTGTCTTCACTAAAAATACAAAAATTAGCCGGGTGTGGTGGCGTGTGTCCCTGTAATCTCAGCTACCCAGGAGGCTGAGGCAGGAGAATCGCTTGAACCCAGGAGGCGGAGGTTGCAATGAGCTGAGATGGCACCACTGCACTCCAGCCTGGGTGACAGAGCAAGACTCCATCTCAAAAAACAACAAAACAAAAAGCGAAAAACAAAACCAACCCCACAGGCAAATCCTGCTGTCAGGAGGGGCTCAGCCTGTCTACCCAAAACCAACCCCACAAGTAAATCCTGCTGTCGGGAGGGGCTCAGCCTGCCCACCCAAAATTCTGGGCTGGCAGAAACCTTCCAAAGAGATCCTCAGCTTACGCAAAAGATAAAGGCGTCTCCACCGCAGGTGCATGCAGTACCTCTTGGACTTTCACTTAATCCTATCATGGACTTATTCTTTTGGCTGAAAGACTTAATGCCCGCTTTACAAAGAAAACTGGGTAACTGTGTTAATACCAAGAATGTCATTTCCTTTGTTCAGCAAAAGCTTTTACTGAGCACTTATTGTGAGGCAGAGGTTCTGACAGACCTGCTAAGGGCATCATTTCTTTTTTTTGGAGATGGAGCCTTGCTCTGTCGCCCAGGCTGGAGCGCAGTGTCCTGATCTCGGCTCACTGCAAGCTCTGCCACCTGGGTTCAAGCAGTTCTCGTGCCTCAGCCTCCTGAGTATCTGGGACTACAGGCGTGCACCACCACGCCCAGCTAATTTTTCTATTTTTAGGAGAGACAGGGTTTCACCATGTTGGCCAGGCTGGTCTTAAACTCCTGACTTCAGGTGATCTGCCCGCCTTGGCCTTCCAAAGTGCTGGGATTACAGGAGTGACCCACTGCGCCTGGCCTCCAAGGGCATCATTTCATATCATCCTTAGATCACAGCTATGAGGAGAGTGTGAAATGCAACCCTCATCTTCCAGGTGAGAAAACCAATGCTTACAGAAGCTAAACAACCCGCCGGAAGTCACACAGCTGGGCAGGGGCGGAACTTCAGGTTTCGGTTATGTGGACTGGCAGGCCCGATGCTTCAGACTGCCACAGCGCTGGGCACCTGTACCCTTCCTATCTGTTCTGTTTTACCTACTTATCCCTCAATATGATGTGTTCTATCAGTGGATGGATGTCCTGTCCCAGCTGCACGTGTCTCTATCATAGCTTGCTATACGGAATTACTTTTCAAATTTCCAGATCCCTTATTATGCATTTCTTTTTTTCTTTCTGAGACAGGGTCTGACTCTGTTGCCCAGGCCGGAGTGAAGAGGCACAATCTAGGCTCACTGCAGCCTCCGCCTCCTAGGCTCAAGCCATCCTCCTACCTCAGTCTGCCAAGTAGCTGGGACTATAGGCATGCACCACTATGCTGGGCTAATTTTTGTATTTTTGGTAGAGACAAGGTTTCACAATGTTACTCAGGGTGGTCTCAAACTTGTAAGCTCAAGTGATCTGCCCGCCTCGGCCTCCCAAAGTGCTGGGATTATAAGTGTGAGCCACTGTACCCAACCTTATTATGCATTTCTTACAGGTAGTACACTTTTTTTAAAAAAAAGGCTGGGGTCAGGAGTTCAAGACCAGCCTGGCCAACATGGTGAAACTCCATCTCTACTAAAAATAAAAAAATTAGCCAGGCGTGGTGGCAGGAGCCTGTAATCTGAGCTACTTGGGAGGCTGGGACAGGAGAATCGCTTGAATCTAGGAGGCGGAGGTTGCAGTGAGCTAAGGTTGCACCACTGCACTTCAGCCTGGGAGACAAGAGCAAACACCGTCTTAAAAAAAAAAACAACAAAAGGAAAATGGTGCTAAAATATACGTGCCATAAAACGTTACCATCTTGGCCACTTTGAATCGCACAGTTCAGCAGTGTGTATATTCACATTGTTTTCTGTGCTTTTACAAACCAAGACACCTGTCTAAGACCCAGGTCCCTGGGGAGTTTCTGCATTTGGGGAAAAACAAGCTCTGGGTCTCTAGTAACTTCGGATAGATGTTGTTTACCAAGTGGAGCTACAAGCCGGGAAGCCAGGATCAGGCTGGGCTGGGGAGGCTGAGTGCTCATGGCCCTGGGTCTGGAACTGCCCCTCCTGAGGCTCCGTCAATGCCCTGGGCCCCTGGGCATCCCTGGGGCCTGCAGCAGCACCCCAGGCTCCCTCCACTGGCTTGGGGGCTGTTCAGAGACCTCTGGCTTTGGAGCACCCAGGCCATGGGAGCCTCGGACTCTCACTCCAGCCTCCTTTCTTCTGCCTCCATTTCAGTTTCCTTGGCCCACATATCACCCGGCGTCCTGGCCATGAGACAAGCCCCAACCCCGCCCTTATATGGACAAAGTCCACTAATCACTGACCCCTCTCCAGGCTGGGTCCTGCTGGGGAGTGCCATTTGCCCATGAGACGGGGGCAGAGGCAGGGCAGCGTCACCTACACATTGCACAGAAAGCCTCTGCCCTCCTCCAGCCCAGCCTGAGGACTGACTCACCCTTCCAAGAATGTGACAGAAACCAGGGCCACTTCACATCAGAAAGCCCTTGGGAAGGACAGTGGCCTGAGCCCTTGAGCCACAGTGCAGCCCTGGGGAGGGGCCGGGGGAGGTCACCCAGGCCTCTGGTTCTGACTCTAAGACACCAGGGTCCCACACAGGCCGAGGCCAGGCTGGCTCCCACGTCCTTCCTGTCTGGGTAACGGGAGGCCAGGACAGTCCTCAGAACACTCCCCAATTCATCTGCAGGCCCACAATGTCCGGCTCACATTCCCCGGCCGCTTAAAATGCCAGAGGTTAAACATTAGCCGCCCAGCCTTTTGTCCTGTGGCCCTGCGTGTGGCCCCAAGGGAGAGCGCCCAGCAGCTGTCACGTCCCTTAGGATCAAAGTGAGTGGGGAGCCGCACCGTCCAACAGACCCGCTCTGAAGTGAGGGGCAGGTTCCGAGAGCTCCTTGGAGCCTGAGCTTTGGGTCTGCCATTCCGGGATTTAATGCATAACCAGGGCTCTCTGAAAACCCTTATAATGGGGCTTTGTTATGGAAATCCTCGCAGACTCTGGCCAATCCTGGAATATGTGTTTTAATCGGTTGATTTGTTTTGTTCAAAGCGCTTAGAATGGAAGACTTAGTGTGAGGAGGGGCAGGTTTGGGGGTAGGCTCAGCGGGTTTGACGAGGGGCAGGTTTGGGGGTAGGCTCAGCGGGTTTGACGAGGGGCAGGTTTGGGGTAGGCTCAGCGGGTTTGACGAGGGGCAGGTTTGGGGGTAGGCTCAGCAGGTTTGACGAGGGGCAGGTTTGGGGGTAGGCTCAGCGGGTTGACGAGGGGCAGGTTTGGGGGTAGGCTCAGCGGGTTTGAGGAGGGGCAGGTTTGGGGGTAGGCTCAGCGGGTTTGACGAGGGGCAGGTTTGCCGCGGGGAGGGGCAGGTTTGCCGCGGGGAGGGGCAGGTTTGGGGGTAGGCTCAGCAGGCACAGTGGCCACAGGAGGATGCCCACCTCACGCCTGGATATGTCCATGAGTACTGCAAAGCTGGCTGTGTGGCTACACTGGCAGGCGACGTGTGTCCGGTTCCTGGACAGGAGCTCGCAGCCCCGGGCAGACCACCCTCCCGTCCCACTGACGCTGTGGAGAGAAGAGAGAAGGGGCAGGGGTAAGATGGTTCCCTCCACCCATGAGTCTGTTGGAGGCAGCCTTTGCCCAGCCCTGGGGGCTCCCAGGCCATCCTGTGCTGAAAGCCTGGTACCCTCGCAGGCTGCTCTCCGCCGTGTTCCGCACCAGCCCCCTGCACCGAAGACAAGAGCCACCTGGCTGTAAGAATAGCAGCCTTGCTGCGGTGGAGGCAGGACCATGGGAACAATCACCCTTCCCTTCTGTGTCTGGTCAGGGCCTCCAAAGAGCACCCTCTGAAGTTCAAGTTCTACGTGTCATCTAGCAGCAAAACTCAAATGGGGCTGTCTCGCGTCCACCACATGCCCCGCCACTGGAACCACCACCCGGGGTTCACACAGCTGCGATGCACTCCTGTCTCTTTCTGAGGGTAGATCTTTCAGAAATAACATCTCACCTTCCTCTGACACTTTCATCTTCAGATTGCGCAATGTTTAATGGGAACTGCCCAGAAGCCAGGGCCCCATTATGACTGCCGCCTCACTGATGGGAAGGCCCAAATAACAAGCTGTTACAAGGTGTGCCTCGGCTTCCGACAGGGCCCTGCCCTCGCGCACTCTGGGAAAATCACATAACCTCTCAGATGCTTACTTTGCTAATCTGTAAAATGGGATGTGAACGTGAATACGTCTGGCACCAATTTTACAATGTGGGAATAATAGGTGCAACTTAAAGCAGAGAGCAGGTCATTAGAGCTGCAGCTAATTGGCAGGATGCAGATGAATGCCCAGCACAGACAGCCGGGCCTGACGTCCCCTCGTGGTGAAAGGGGTTCCTTTCTTCTCTCTTTTATAAGCCACAAGTGCCTATTACATTCCAGGTGCCATGCTGGCTGCTTATTAACTAGAACTTGGAAAGCACAGAAGCAGGAGAAGAATGAGGCTGGGCTCAACCGGCTCGCTCAGCCCCCAGCACAGCCCCCACTCATGGCTCTCCACTGTGCCCCAGGGGAACTGTGATGGGGGGAGTGTTCCTGCTGCACAGACGCCCCTAGATGAACAACGTTCAGCAGATTCGAGCCTGACTCACTGAGTCCTGCATGGCGTCTCCCCTTCCTGGCACTCCCTCCTGGTGTGCGGAGAGCCAGTGGGTCTTCCCCTCCCTGACTGCTCCCATCCCAGCCACAGACCCCTTCCCACCACACCCCAGTTCCAGTGTTTTCTTCTAAACAGAGACAGCAAAGGTGAAAACCGACCAGCAGAGAAAAAGCAAGCTCCCTGTAAAAACACAGCAACTCCCATGTCCACACTCACGTCAACTCCGCCGCTAAAAAGCAAAACCAAGGCACAAACACTACTGGCTCCAGCAGACGGGAGCCACACCGCGGCGCCGAATCCACAGTCTCACGTGTGGGTGAGAATCACTCATTCTGCATTTTTCTAACTACGAAACGACTTTGCCTCACTTGAACGGATGCTAGAACACAGACTCTTGTGCACCACCTCCTGCCTGCGCCACTCTACCGGCTGACTTCCAACGCTACTTCTGAAACTGGCCAGATAAACCGTGCTGCGGCCGGGTGTGGCCTCTTGGGGGTAAAGCCAGTCCCCAAAGCTGGACTGTGTCGGCCTCGCGGGCAAGACCGTCAGCAGACAGGCTCCTAGGCCAGTCTCTGGGTTCTGTCTCCCGTGTGTGAGCGGAACAGGCCGCTGTCTCATACGGCAGTGAACTGGGCACTACGCTGGTGTTGGCCGCTGCATCCTGGGAGTCCCGCAGGCGAGGGGCCCCTTCCTGGCTGTCAGCCTTGAGGGATCTCTCTGTGTGCCTGCACGTCTGTGTCTCCACGTGCAGGTCTGTGTGTGCATCTGTGCGTGGGCATCTGCGGGGCGACTCTGATGTTCCCACAGAAGCAGAGCAGGAGGCTCGCTGCCCCACGGCGGGGCTAAAAGGGGAAACACTGACCACAAGAGACCGTCCTCTCGGGGCGCTCTGCCACGGAGCCCCCAACCCTGCGGGCGCACTCCGCCTCGGCAAAGCCCTCACATGGAGATGCGGGGCTCCCGGAGTCACACTTACGCCAGGGAGTGGTTCCAGAACACGCAGACCGGCTTGGTTCGCTCCTCCACCTCCAGCAGGGCGAACTCCACCAGGACGGGCCTCTCCAGGGGTCTCGGGAGCGGAGCCCCCTCGCTGTACACCAGTGCGCTCACCATCGGGGTATTAATGACGGGCCGGTGAGGCAGCCTGAGGTCAAGAAGAGCACGGGGACAGACACGGTTAGGAAACATTTGCTTAAACCCCAGCACAAATGCCCTGAGGATACGCCACATCGTGTTTCTAGGGGAGACAGAATCACACTCAAAGAGCTCAGATCCACGGGCCCCACCGTATCTTCGTCCCTAGAGCAGGTTTTATCACTGACAGGGCACACAGAGAGATGTGTCACTTCTGGGTCAAATTGGGACTTCAGAAATTTAAAAAGCAAGAGAAGGCACAGGTGCAAAGATGTCACAGCCCATAACAGCTAATGGCAGAAACATAGGGGATGGCTTAACTGTCCAGCAAAAGACCAAAATAATGGCAGCTCATGGGGATGAATCACCGGGTCACTGGGACCCCAGAGCCAGGGACGTATCTGGGAAACGGCAGGAAGAAGGGTGGAGCCTCGGGCTGCGCCCACCGAGAACGTCACAAAGCTGCTTCTGGGACATTCATCCTTTCCAGCCAGGACTAGCTGAGCAGCCCTAACCCTGGGGCCAGCAGCAGGCACTACCCACGACTGCCTCGGTCAGGTGTGTGGGGACAGAATGGGGTCCCTCTAGGCACAAGATGGGGCATATGCGAGGGAGGGGGCATTTCTGGCGGAAACACTGGGATAAGCCCAGGCAAAGGGTGTGTAACGTTCTAGGGTGTAGTGTCCCGTGGCAGCCCCAGAACCTCCCTCCAAGGAGCACCACAAAGCAACGGTCTCTGTCTCTGGGCCAGGTCACGGTGAAATGTCACTGTGAAGACCTGTGCTTGATCAGGATCAGGATTTTGACTTGTGGAAGCCTCAGGGGCCTCCAGAATGGGCCCTCCCCATGTGCCCCGTGCCCAGGCCTCACCGGAGGCTGCGACGGTCGGGGTCATAGCGCTCTGGCAGGAGCTGCCCCAGGGTGCGGTAAATGATGACCAGGGCAACGGCGAACTGGCCAGCGTCATCAGGGTGTCGCCTCCGCCTGCTGATCGGGGCCTCCCTCTCGGTGCCAGGCTCCGGGCGCGGGCTCTGCGGGCTGGTCCTCCGGCCGGCCGGCCTCACCAGGGGGCCTTCTGCAATGTGAGCAGAGCGTGAGGACTCCGGCAGGAGCATCTGCGTTCCCCAAGATGGCTGTCAGTGCTAGCAGGTGCTTCTCAAAAACCAACAGATGTCCCACAGAAAACAGTACAGCGCATCCTCAAAAAATCAAAAACAGGACTTACCACGTGACCCAGCAAGCCCACTTCTGAGTCTACACCCCAAAGAACTGCAGGCAGGGACCCAGATACTTCCATGCCCACATTCACAGCAGCACCATCCACACAGGCCAAAAGGTGGAAACAGCCCAGCCATGCGCCGACTGGTGAGTGGATAAACCAAGAGTGGTCCATCCACACAACGGAATGTTACTCGGCCTTCAAAAGGAGGGCAAGTCTGACACTTGCTACAACGCGGGTGAACCTACAGGACGTTCTGCTCAGTGAAATAAGCCAATCACAAAAGGACAAATATTGTGCGATTCCTCTTATAGGAGGTCCCTAGAGGAGTCAAATTCAAAGACAGAAAGACGGGTGGGCACCAGGGGCTGGGGAGGGAGTGAGTGTTTTGTGGGCTGGAGTTTCAGATCTGCAGGATGAAGAGTTCTGGAGATGGACCCCTTAAACACGAACGTATCTGATGCAGTCTGGATGTGTCCCCTCCAAATCTCATGTGAAAATGTGATCAGAGTTGAAAATGGGCCTGGCGGGGGGTGTTTGGGTCATGGGTGTGGATCCCCCAGGAATGGCTTGGTGCCCAGCCCTTGGTAATAAGCGAGTTCTCACTCCATTAGTTCCAGAGAGAGCTGGCTGCAATGGAGAGTCGGGGACCTCGTCCTCTCAGTTTCAAGCATGACCCCACATCAGAGTCACCCCTCTTTTCAAGACACGAGATAACACCATATACCTGACAAAATCCATTTACTAACGAGGTTTCCAATTTTAAACTGTCCATTACGGAGTTTACCTTTTCATGTCCTTTTTATTTGGGGAAGTTTTTAGTAATTGCCATGGATCTGTAAAGAAGCACCTTAAGAAAATTCAAAATGTTCAAACTGTTTTGCATTATAACCTCAACCCAGAATTGAAGATTTGTTCATACACAGACAGCATTCTGGCTTTTTTTGTTTTTGGTTGTTTTTTGCGGGGAGGGGAAGGTGATTCTAAAATGTCTATTTCTATTTAGAAGCAGCTTTCCCCCCACCAGACAGGTTCTTGCTCTGCTGCCCAGGCTGGGCTGTAGTGGCATGATCACAGCTCACTGCAGCCTCTATCTCCTGGACTCAAGCAATCCTCCCGCCTCAGCCTCCTAAGTAGGTGGGACTACAGGCCTGCGCCACCACGCCCAGGTAATTAAACAAAACTTCCTTGGTAGAGATGGGGTTTCTCTATGTTGTCCAGGTTGGTCTTGAATTTCTGGGCTCAAGCAATCCTCCTTGAGTCGGCCTCCCAAAGTGTTAGGGTTACAGGTGTGAGCCATTGCGCCCGGCTAGAAGCAGCTTTTCACTGCACATCAAAGATAACCAGCTCACATAAAAATTTCAGTTCTTTTTTCTCACATTATCAATTACATGGCTGAGTATCCCTTAGCTGAAATGCTTGGGAACATTTTGGAATTTTTTTTTTTTTTTTTTTTTTGAGAGGGAGTCTTACTGTGCAGCCCAGGCTGGTGCACCTCGGCTCACTGCAACCTCTGCCTCCCAGGCTCAAGCAATTCTCAAGCACTCAGCCTCCTGAGTAGCTGGGATTACAGAGGCCCGCCACCACAGCTGGCTCTTTTTTTTGTGTTTTAGACATGCGGTTTTACACCACGTTGGTCAGGCTGGTCTCGAACTGCTGACCTCAGGTGATCTGCCCACCTCGGTCTCCCACAGTGCTGGGATTACAGGTGTGAGCCACCGCACCCAGCCTGGATTTTGATTTTTTTTATCGTTTCATACTTATGTTCCAATGAACACTTCCTTTAAGTGCTCAAGAAGGTTCAGGTTCTGGAGCATTTCAGGTTTGAGGATGAGGATGCTCAGCCTGTACCTAAGCACTTGTACAAAACAACCCTGCTGTCACCAGCAGGACCTGGCACCAGCGAGCACTGGGAACACTCCGGCCCGGAGCTTCAGTGCGCAGTCCTGTGATTCCCGCAGCAGGGCGCCCTCCCCTCCCTGAACGCTGGGGACTCCGAGGGAAGCGGCAGGTTTCTAAGCGGTTCTACCTTTTTCTTCAGGTGGTTTGAAGAAGTCGGCTGGGAAGGAGACGGAGGACTCCAGCTCCCTGGGGAACTCTTCGCGGATGGCGTCGAACTGCGGGACCCTGGCTCCCGTAAAGTTGAACTTGTCAAAGATGTCGACGGCCAGAACTAGGGGGACAGTTCCTTCAATCAGACATAACTCCCAGGGCTTTCTTGAACCCTAGCTGTTTTCAAAATGACCACAACTGTCACACTGACACTGGCTGGCCATATTTCTTATTTATATTTTTTTATTATTTTTTTTTTGAGGTGGAGTCTCGCAGTGTCTCCCAGGCTGGAGTGCAGTGGTGCGATCTCAGCTCACTGCAACCTCCGCCTCCCAGGTCCAAGCAACTCTCCTGCCTCAGTCTCCCAAGTAGCTGTGACTACAGACAGGCACGACCACGCCTGGCTTTTTTTTTTTTGGTAGATGTGGTTTCATCATGTTGGCCAGGCTGGTCTCAAACTCCTGACCTCAAGTGATTTGCATGCTCTGGCTTCCCAAAGTGCTGGGATTACAGGCATGAACCACCACACTCAGACTATTTACTTATATTTATTTTCTGAGACAGGGTCTCACTCGGTCACCCAGGCTGGAGTGCAGTAGCAGAATCTCAGCTCACTGTAGCCTCATCCTCCTGGGCTCAAGCGATCCTCCCACCTCTGCCTCCTGAGTAGCTGGGAATACAGGGGCATGCTACCACACCTGGCTAATTTTTATTTATTTTTTTTAATAGAGACAGGGTCTCCCTATGGCACCCTGCTGGTCTCGAACTCCTGGGCTCAAGCAATCTGCCCACCTCGGCCTCCCACAGTGTTGGGATTACAGGGTGTGAACTACTACGCCCAGTTGACTGGCCATCTTTAGAACAGAATTGACTTCCAACTTCCTGCATCCCACCTGTACCTACACCTGTCTGCAGTAAGCATGGAGTGAGGCGGGGCTCTCGACATCCATCCTTCTAGAGTCTCACACTTGAGGGTCTGGAAGGCCTGCTGGACCCCCAAGATCACGGCCCAACATTTCCCAAGCCCAGGACCTGTCCCCTGGGAGCCATGGGTGTGTCATCGCAGACTGTCTTCCCAAAGGCTCCACTTACAGACGACGAAACAGAGGCCTAGCTGCTGAATCTTCAGTTTTTTTTTTTTTTTTTGAGATGGAGTCTTGCTCTGTCACCCAGGTTGGAGTGCAATGGCGCAATCTAGGTTCACTGCAACCTCTGCCTCCCAGGTTCAGGTGATTCTCCTGCCTCAGCCTCCCGAGTAGCTGGGATTACAGGCATGTACCACCACGCCTGGCTACTTTTTATATTTTTAGTAGAGACGGGGTTTCACCATTTTGCCCAGGTTGGTCTCCAACTCCTGACCTCACGTGATCTGCCTGTCTCGGCCTCCCGAAGTGCTAGGATTACAGGTATGAGCCACTGCACCTGGCCTCAGAATCATTCTTCTAAGAGCATGGCCAAGGGGGGACCAGGAGCCCACCTGCTTCACCCCACGGGGGCCCAGCTCTGGGGAACACCCCTGACGGTAGCAGGGTTCCACCCCCCACGCAGCCAGGGCCTTACTCATGTTGGCGGTGACGATGACGAAGGGCCGTAGGTAGGTCCGTCGCACGTTGCGTGCCACGTTGCTGAAGTAGCCCTCGAGGCGCTGGAGCAGCTGTGCCGTGCCACCCTCACTCCGCTGGATCTGCTCCCATGCCGCCCTGGTGGCCGGGGCCAGGAGGGCGCTGCCCGAGCGGATGATGTCCTGGTCAGATAGACAGTGCTCAGTACTCAGCCTGAGGGGGCCTGGCTCGCAGGACTGAGGGACACCAGCCCTGAAAGCCTTTGCTTGCCTAATGGGCTCATTCATTCCAGCCCTACACTTCAGATTGTGCTCTTTAATATTAGTGTTTTTGTTTGTTTGTTTGTTTGTTTTGAGACAGACTTCCGCTCTTGTCATCCAGGCTGGAGTGCAGTGGTGCAATCTCGGCTCACTGCAACCTCTGCCTCCTGGGTTCAAGCAATTCTCTTGCTTCAGCCTCCTGAGTAGCTGGGATTACAGGCACACATGTGCCACCACACCCGGCTAATTTTTGTATTTTTAGTAGAGACGGGGTTTCACCATGTTGGCCAGGCTGGTCTTGAACTCCTGACTTCAGGTGATTCACCCGCCTCGGCCTCCCAAAGTGCTGGGATTACAGGCGTGAGCCACTGCGCCTGGCCTAGTTCCCAGATTTTTTTTTCGAAAAGTTTATCTTAGGAGGAATAGAAAAATGTTACTAAGCTCATAAAGTATATTAAAATCCAGAGAATTAAAGATGCTTCATATTTTTAGCTTAATTTACTAGATTTACAAGCACTGTTTAAATGCTTGGAAGGGCTGTTTGCTGGCCGAACAACTGAAATACAAAAAGAAAAATCAAATATATAACATATATTAATTCCATTTAAAATAATTAGGGAAATTTCATGGTCTAAGTTTATAAATAGGATCAAACATTAATCAAAGTTGAATTCAAATAGATAAGGAAGTCTGTTTGTTTGTTTTTGTTTTTTGAGACAGAGTTTCACTTTGTTGCCCAGGCTGGAGTACAGTGGCACGGTCTTGGCTCACTGCAACCTCCGCCTCCCAGGTTCAAGCAATTCTCATGCCTCAGCCTCCCATGTAGCTGGGATTACAGGCGCCCACCACCCCGCCCGGCAGATTTTTTTTGTATTTTAGAAGAGACGGGGTTTCACCATGTTGCCCAGGCTGGTCTCGAACTCCTGGGCTCAGGCAATCTGCCCATCTCGGCCTCCCAAAGTGCTGGGATTACAGGTGTGAGCCACCACGCCCAGCCACAAGTCACTTTTTAACGTGTGATTTTAATAAATCCTGAATCCCATCACATAAACCACAGGGACTGTGGGGGATTCAATGTCAGAGGATGGGACTGTCAGAGTGAGCCCTGCCAGGCTTTTTTCCACGTACACCCCAAGATGGTAAGGCAGGGAAGACATGTGGAGATGCCCCTGGTAATATCAGAAGTCCTCCTGAACCCCACCACGTAAAGCAGTGATGGAACCACCACAACCTGGGCTGAGCAGAGGACCCACACTGAGGCCGCTGTGGACACGTGGGCAGCTCCTCCAAGGGTGACCCTCAGCCTCCGCACACCCCAGGGTCTATGTGAACAACTGGGTGGAGGCATGAGGCTGTGCTCAGGGGCTTGGGGACCACACCCAAGACAGAAACCAGGGCTGGGCACGTTGCTCATGCCTGTAATCCTGACACTTTGGGTGGCTGAGACTGGTGGATCACCTGAAGTCAGGAGTTTGAGACCAGCCTGGCCAACACGGTGAAACCCCAACTCTACCAAAAATACAAAAAATTAGCCAGGCGTGGTGGTGGGCGCCTGTAATCCCAGCTACTTGGGAGGCTGCAGCAGAAGAACTGCTGGAACCTGGGAGGCGGAGGTTGCAGTGAGCTAAGATTGCACCACTGCACTCCAGCCTGGACAACAGAACAAGACCCAAGACCCCATCTCAAAAAAAGAAAAGAAAAGAAACAGAAACCAGGAAGGAAACTTGTTTGCGGAGTCACGCGTGGAGAATAAACGCCACTGGCCCAACTCTCCGGCTGGAACTCAAATCCCAGCAGGGGGACCCTGCCTGGTCTCTGGTGTCCTTATGCAGACCGGAAGGTTCCATGGGGGCCCTGCATGGACTGGAGGCCCTTTGTGGATGAGGAGGTCCCTGAGGGCTCCGTGTGGATGGGTGGGAGGGACAGGGTGTCCCCGCGGGCTGTGTGTGGATGGGTGGGAGGGACAGGGTGTCCCCCGTGGGCTGTGTGTGGATGGGTGGGAGGGACAGGGTGTCCCCGCGGGCTGTGTGTGGATGGGTGGGAGGGACAGGGTGTCCCCGCGGGCTGTGTGTGGATGGGTGGGAGGGACAGGGTGTCCCGCGGGCTGGTGTGGATGGGGGGGGGACGGGGTGTCCCCGGGGCTGTGTGTGGATGGGTGGGAGGGACAGGGTGTCCCCGCGGGCTGTGTGTGGATGGGTGGGAGGGACAGGGTGTCCCCCGCGGGCTGTGTGTGGATGGGTGGGAGGGACAGGGTGTCCCCCGCGGGCTCTGTGTGGAATGGGTGAGAGGGACAGGGTGTCCCCCGCGGGCTGTGTGTGGATGGGTGGGAGGGACAGGGTGTCCCCGCGGGCTGTGTGTGGATGGGTGGGAGGGACAGGGTGTCCCCGCGGGCTGTGTGTGGATGGGTGGGAGGGACAGGGTGTCCCCCGCGGGCTGTGTGTGGATGGGTGGGAGGGACAGGGTGTCCCCGCGGGCTCTGTGTGGACAGGCGCTCCTCTGGGGTCCTGTCTGGATGACGAGGCCTGCAGTGGAGCCACAAGGAAACTTCTGGAGTCCCCAAGGGCAGTTTCCAAATATCAGGCTGCATGAGTCTCCTCTGCATTCACCCTAAAAAGACACCGCTCAGGGGCTGACAAGTTCCACACACAGAGCTGGAGGGTTGAGGTGGAGGCACGGCCCTCTGAAAGCAGGACCTCTGAGCTGCGGGTGGGAGTGGACACGGGGGCCCACTGCCGGGCCCTGCCCCTTACGAGCTGTGCCTTTGGGAAAACTCCTTAGCTCTCTCTGTGCCTGTTTCCTTACCTGTCAAATGGGTGGACGATACTACATCACAGGCTGCGTGGAAGGGAGAGGGGCTGATTCAGGTGGGTCACTTAGAAGCCACTTAGATCACACTACAGGCCCTACTGGGATCACCGGCAAGGCTGTGACCTGCCAGTTTCCTTCCGGAACATTCTGTAGAGCTTGTCAGTTGAGCCAGGTGCTGCACCCACCAGGGCTCACATTTGAGAAATGAGGGGTTGCCTCGAGGATCCCGGACACAACCATCTTCCACGAGCTGAGGTGGATGCCCAGCCCCATCCCCGAGTGTCCCCGAGCCAGGGCGGCAGCCACCCTCCTACCTCGTGGAAGTTGGCATCCTGTGTGGCTGCCAGGTCGAAGCCCTGCTGCCAGCTCTCGTGCTGAAGGACGCGGCCCAGCAGCTGGTAGGCCGTGCGCACGTCATTGCCAAAGAGCGTGCCCGTGTGCTGTGTAGCGTTGCGCAGCGCCCTCACCAGCCGCAGGGCCCCAGCACCATCCACCTGCGTCTCGTTGCGGCTCAGCTTCTCATTCTGCAACAGGGAAGTGGTCGCAATGTGTGCAAACCCACTTTGGTTGCTTTCGGTTCCTGCGGTTACTCAGCAACTCACTACTGTCCGGTGCAAGTTTCCTTGTCAGAAAGGAACTTAAAAAAATCCAAAAGCCTGGCTGGGCATGGTGGCTCATGCCTGTAATCCCAGCACTTTGGGAGGCCAAGGCAGGTAGATCATTTGAGGTCAGGAGTTCGAGACCAGCCTGGCCAACATGGTGAAAACCTGTCTCTACTCTCTATTTTAAAAATACTCTATGTCGCACTTTGGGAGGCTGAGACGGGCGCATCACGAGGTCAGGAGATCAAGACCATCCTGGCTAACACGGTGAAACCCCGTCTCTACAAAAATACAAAAAAACTAGCCGGGCGTAGTGGCAGGCGCCTGTAGTCCCAGCTACTCGGAAGGCTGAGGCAGGAGAATGGTGTGAACCCGGGAGGCGGAGCTTGCAGTGAGCCAAGATCACGCCACCGCACTCCAGCCTGGCCAACTGAGCAAGACTCCGTCTCAAAAAAGAAAAAAAAATATACTCTATGTCTCTATTTCAAAAGTAAAAAATTTAGCAGGGTGTGGTGGTGGGCACCTGTAAGTCCCAACTACTAGGGAGGCTGAGGCAGGAGAATAGCTTGAATCGGGGAAGCAGAGGTTGCAGTGAGCTGAGACCGTGACACTGCCCTCTAGCTTGGGAGATAGAGTGAGACTTCATCTTCAAAAAAAAAAACAAAAAAAACCCCAGAAGCCCAAAAAATGAGCACCGCTGACAGTTAGGACATGGAAAACATGGAAACAAGGGTCTGGTGGGCCAAAGAGGGCTCAGAGAAAGACAGCAAGCTGGAGGCAGGGGAACAAACGCTATGAAATAGGGCAGGATCAGGGGGCAAATGGAGTCAAATGCAGGGACCCTGCGTTTTCAGAACGAAAGACACAGAGCTGGGTCCTCTGGGGGACAGAAGTGCACGTGGGGGGTGACTGGCTCAGGTGCCAATGCCCCCAAGTCCACAGGAACCACTGGCTCCAGGCTGTGGGCCCGTGGGGCTGTCCCTGCAGCATCACAGCTGCCCCGACACTCCCCAGCCCAGGAGCCTCGGCCCACACAAACCCTTGCATGCACACATGAACACACACGTGCCCCGGCTGAGCATGCACACATGAACACACATGTGCCCCGGCTGAACACGCATCCTCGAGGCGCCCCTACCATGGCCCTGAGGTCCACGAAGGAGATGGTGGTGCAGTTAAAGAGCTCTGGAGGCAGCCAGCCCTTCTCCCCGCTGCAGTGTCGGACCGCATTTCCTAGGGAAGCAGAGCAGGTGTGCAAAGCCTGAAACTCAAATTGTTGATCAATGCTTGTGTATTTCAATCCCCAGTCCGAATGTACTGAAACCCAGAACACTGCGTGGCGGTGAGAACCCCAGGGGGGCCGGAAGGCCAACACCAGCGCCCCTCTTTCATGTCAGGGCCACGCCGAAGCTGCTCTGACACTGACAATCAGACGTTTCGGGTGCCCAGCCAACAGGAGCCAGAGCTTCCGAGCAAGTCCGCAAGGAAAGAAATCAGCAACACCATCTGCTGGGCGGCCATGATCCCATGTGCCAGGAATCTGTTTCGGCCAGGCCTTTCTTTGCCTCACTGCACTCCCCAGACGCCCCTCACAGTGGGGACAAAGTCACTGTCCCCATTTCACAGAGGAAACCCAATGCTACAAACAGTGAAGCCATTTGTCCAGGTGCCGCAGCTTGAGTGACGCAGCTGGGACTGGCTGGGCCTGACTGGCGGGCGTCCCCACATGCACTACGCTGTTCATGTTTCTGTTACGTCCTCTGCCTGCTTTGTGTATTTACGGGTAGGGAAAAGGTGATCTGATTTCTTCCCAGCACTTTGCCTGCTGATGTTTCTTCAGCACGAAACATTCCGTGAGTCCCCACGTCTCGACCGGCTCTCCCACAAGGACACGTGCCTCAGTTCCCTACCCGTGGATGCCACAGGCCCCGGGGACTCACCGACGGATCCCTTGGGGCACGGCACTGCAGCCGGCTGCCCGAACTTGGTCTGTGGCCACCAGATCCCAGCCTCAAATGCTTTGGGACAGCCGTTGTAGATCACTGGGGTACAGAGGAGAGAAGGCTGCTCAGCGGGGCATGCCGTGCCCAGCACCACAAACAGACACCACTGTCTGCGTGTGCTTCCCTGCAGGAGGCCCTGCTCCCACCAAGAACTGAACCCTAGCATCTCCCCTGCCCCCATCCATGTCAGAGCTGGAGAGGGGGTGACCAGGCTCTGACCCATACCCCCTCATGTAGAACCAGGTTTCTAGAAGGTCAAGAGAAAGCAGAACACAAGGGAGCCCAGGGTTCCCCCAAACAGCCGGCATGCATGCACACACGTGCACGCCAGGGCAGCAGCCTGTCCCTGCGCTGTAACCTGAAGGGTGTCAAGGGGCAACACTGACCTTCACAGCCGAATGTGGTGACCTCGGCAAACGGGTTGTCACAGCGGTTGCACTGGCGGCCGATGACGCCGGGCTTGCAGGCACACTGACCAGTGGCCATGTCGCAAGTGCGGCTGTGGGAGCCATGAGGGAAGCAGTCGCAGGGCAGACAGGTATCCTGGGCTGGGGGCTTATAGTAATTCTCCTGCAAAAGCCAGAGGCAGGGCCTGTGACTTCAGATGCCCAGGAAAGGCCCTACCTTGCAGCGCATTTTCCAAGCAACGTCCAGACTCCCGCGTGGGTGCGTGTGTCGGCCGCCAGCCATCTCACCCCTCATGGCTACCTTCTGCCCACATCCCACACCCAACAGGGGCTGCCTCCCAGGGCCCCACAAGGCCGGACCCAGGAGAGCAGTTCTTTTGGGAAGCATGCCCTCCCTCATGTCTTAGCAAATCTCAGCAGCGAGCACCTTTGCATTTGTCCTAAAAAGAATCAGAGATCCAAATGGCTTACGCGTGGGGATAGCCCTTGGGCATTTTTTTAAAGTTGTTTGGAAAAATTAGAAGCCACCTGAACGTCCACCATTGGGTGGGTCAGGGTGACAATCAAGAGCTTGTACTTTGGATTCAGAAAGTCCTGGGTTCATGCTTGACCCTTGCCATTTACCGGCTACACTGCCTGGGCCGGCCGGTCACTGGGCCTCCCCAGGCCCAAGTAGCAAACCCCCAACCCCGCCCCAGAAAATGGGGCAGGCTGTGACTTGGGGAGACTCATGAGCAACGTTCAAACTTGTGTGACAGGCGGGGACTCCAACTGAGTGTAAAATGGCGGTAAGCGGCAGGCCCAGAAGAGATGCTAAAACACTAACAATCACAGCTGGGAGGCGACATGGGGTGACTGCGATCTTTATGTTTTTTTTATTACATTTTGTATAACTTTGTTTTTCTATTTTTTTGAGATAGGGTCTCACTCTGTTGCCCAGGCTGGAATGCAGTGGTACAATCACAGCTCACTGCAGCCTCAACCTCCAGGGCTCAAGTGATCCTCCCACCTCAGCCTCCCGAGTAGCTGGGATCACAGGCATGCACCAGCACGCTCAGCTAATATTTTTATTTTTTGTAGAAGTGGGAGTCTCACTATGTTGCCCAGGGTGGTCTTGAATTCCTGGGCTCAAGTAATCCCTCCTGCCTCGGCCTCCGGAGTAGCTGCGATTACAAGCATGAGCCACCACACCCTGCCTATAACTTTGAATGAGAAAAAAATCATAGGCAAGTTTTCGCCAATTCACTTCCAACATCCCCTGTGCTCTGCCACCCACTGTGCCACCACCACCATCTGGTGACATGTGTGGACCAACCCGGACCCAGGAGAGCTGTTTAATTTGAGCCTTTTAGGACACAAGTCCCACTTGCTGTTGGAACCACTGCAGGCACTCAGGACACTACTGACATCACGGGATGGCATCCAAGGGTACCCTGATGCCAGCTTCCCTCCTAGGGCCGGCCGCATCTGCAGGAAGCTCATGTCCCTCGCCTAGGCTCCTGTTACCCTCAGACCTAACATCTGGGTTTCAAGTTACTATGAGTGCTATGGCTGTGGTGTACACGAAGATCCTGAAGGAGGTGACGTATCCTGAGGGGGTGGGGAGGGGTCCCTAGAGTCTGCACTGAGAACACATGTGCACATCTGGAGACATGAGATGTGAGCTCCGTGCTGCATGCAGGTTAGGACGGACAGCCCTGGACACGGGTGGGGCATAACACACTTAGTGACGCTTTCTATTTTAAAACTGCTGTTGTCATGTGATGTCAGCTTGGTAAAGACCAGGAAAATGACCAGGCACGGTGGTTCACACCTGTAATCCCAGCACTTTGGAAGGCTGAGGCGGTTGGATCACCTGAGGTCAAGAGTTCAAGACCAGCCTGGCCAACATGGTGAAATCCTGTCTCTGCTAAAAATACAAAAATTAGCTGGGCGTGGTGGTGGGCGCCTATAATCCCAGCTACTCAGGAGGCTGAGGCAGAAGAATCGCTGGAACCTGGGAGGCAGAGGCTGCAGTGAGCCAAGATTGTACCACTGCACTCCAGTCTGGGCGACACAGCGAGACTCCATCTTAAAAAAAAAAAAAGACCAGGAAAATGGCCAACCAGGAGGGCTGGGGTAGTGCCAGAGATGAGCCAGCCCTCAGAAAAGGCTGGGCTGCCCATAGCCATGGGCAGTGGGCTGGGAGCAGGCAGGGATTCCTGTTCCACGGGCGGGGGCTGGCAGGGCTGAACCCGTAGTTTACATGTGGAAAACAGCCATGGAGTAGTCACAGAGCACAGGGGAACAGCAAGGAAACCAAAAACCACATCTGTACACAAATGTGGGAGTGGGCACAGCTGTGTGTGTGCAGGTGTGAGTATGTACAGGCAGGGTGTGTGTAGGGATGTGTGTATGTAGGGGGTGTGTACAGGCAGGGTGTGTAGGCGTGTGTGTATGTAGGGGCATCTGTGCATGTGTGTTAGCACACACAGCCATCTCCCTGGGGCTCAGGGCCTGGGGTGGGCGTGCAGGGACCATGGGGGCTGGGCCTCACCTTGCATTGGCACTGGCCGTTGGTCTTATTACAATCAGGATCAAAGCCTTTGCTGACAGCACAGTGGCAGGGTCCACAGACAGGGTTCCCCCACCAGCCTCTGGGGCACGGAAGGTCGAGTCTGTGGGGAAAATAAGAGGGCAGCTGGAAGGTTTATGCAACTGTGCCTTCTGGAACAAGAAGAGGCCCGCTGGCAGCGTGGAGATGGCTGCCCAGGAGGCCTGGCTGGGTCCAGCTCTGGGAGCTTCGCTTTCACATTATGTGGCCTCAGTCTCCCCTCTACTGGCTCCCAACCTCACCCCCCACCCACAGATCCGCCATGCCCAAAGCGACTGGGACGGCATCTGCGTCCACTGTGTGCCCCACGTCCACATGACGCCTGGCTCACTGGGGCTTAATGACAGTGAACCCTACTGCAAGAGCTGGCCTTTCACGACACAGCCCCACACAGGCAAACCGAACTCAGCTGCCTGGCACAACTTCTCAAAGTGCGCTTGGGGTGAGTGCCAGCATGAGATGCCCGCGGGAGGCTCCTGAACAGGGAGTGTGGCAGCTTTTGTTGTCCCCCAGGTCCCCTGGCCACCAGCCCCACAGATGCTCAGGGCAGCCGTGCCCTGGTGTAGCGTGCCCCTTAGGTCAGTAGCACACGTCCATGCACTCAGAACCCAGTAGAAGCCAGTCCTGCCTCCCTGAGCCTCCCCCGGCGGAGAGCAACAGACACTGAAGATGAGCAACACTGCAGGGACAAAGCCAGGCCTCCGAGGTGCCGGCCGCTGCTGTGCATGAGTCGTCCTACCTGTTCCTGACAGGGGCTGCACCTGCGCAGTCACCTGGAGGCCCACCTGCTTGCAACGGCCCCGCCCGAGTGTCCTGCGGGCTCCTGCATTCCCCATCCTGGCTAACCGAGTTCCCTCTACCCAGCTGCCAGCTCTAGCATTCACTCACTTGATGAGCAAGTATTAAGGACTGTGTACAAATCAGCGTCACAAAGACAACCGGCCAGATATAAGAGTCTGGTGTTTATGGATGTATGTGTGCAGTGTGGGGGCCCCAGAGCCTTCACCCCCTGCAGCCCTGGTGACCACGGCACTGGGCATGGAGACACTGGATCAGCCTCTTAGCAACCCCGCCCTGCTCCAAGCTGTGCTCCATGCCGCAGCTGGGGGTTCCTTAAGACCACACCCGGTTCTGCCACTTTAGTGCTGGGCCCCCAGGGCCTCCACACAGCCAAGCTCTGTTCCTGGCTTGTGGGCCCACCCCCGTCCCCACCCAGGCCTCTCTAGACCAGCCTCATCCCCTTACCCCTCTCCAGCTTGGCTCTGTTGCTTTCGTTCCCAGAAAGCCCTCTGGCTTCAGCCTCACTGGCTCCCACCTCCCTCTCCACTCCCAGGGCACCTCCTCTAAACTCTCCCTTGCATTCGATCTTGCTGGTATCCAAGAATGACGTAGTGCCATCTTCTCGTGAGGTCACCAGCTCCAGGGCACAGGCTGCTTCCCACTCATGGGGTCACAGCCGGGATCACAGCACCTGCTCTAGGCTCAGGTGGACAAAGAACAGAGCGTAGCAGGTGTCCCCACACCTGAGGGCCACCAGCAGCTGAGGACAATGAGCCATGGGGGCATCACCTCCACGGTGGCCTAGAATCTTGGTTTATGAAGAACCAAGCAGCTCCACCTTGGACAAAGTGATGCTTGTAATGACTACACACTGTGCCCAGCGATCCCTATGCAAAGGGCACTCTGGGAGCCCAAAGAGCATGCTGCTGCCTGTCCTAACCACACCAGGATCTCCACATTCATCAGACACGACCTCAACCCCACCGACTCGAGAGAGAAAGCATTCTCTATAAATCGCACATGTCTCGTTGCATCTCATGGGGTCTGTTCGCTCTGGGCACAGCGAGGACTCCGGGTGAGTCATACTGCACGTTTCTGGCGTGGACACATGATCCAATGGGGTTAGTTTGAGATGTCCAAATCGATTCTCATTGCCCAGCCGTGGTGGCTCACACCCATAATCCCAGTACTTTAGGAGGCTGAGACAGGTGGATCTCTTGAGGTCAGGAGTTCGAGACTAGCCTCACCAATATGGTGAAATCCCATCTCTACTAAAAATACAAAATTATTAGCTGGGCATGGTAGCAGGCACCTGTAGGACCAGCTACTTGGGAGGCTGAGGCAGGAGAATCGCTTGAGCCCAGGAGGCGGAGGTTGCAGGGAGCCAAGATCACACCATTGCCCTCCAGCCTGGATGACAGAGTAAGACTCTGTCTCAAAAAAAAAAAAAAAAATTATCATTTAATTCATGCCAATTTTGAAAAAAAAAATGTCCCTGTTATCCAGAATTACACATATCTTCGGGTCAAAATAAGAAAGAGAAGACACTGACTGAAGAGGGAACACAGCCACGTGGACTCTGAAGGCACAGGGAGGTCCCGGGGCTGCTCTTACTTGTTCTCGCAGTACGGCCCGTAGTGGCTGGGCCCGCACTCGCACACGTAGCCCTGCGGGGAGCCGGGGGAGCGTACGCAGGCCCCCATGTTCTCGCAAGGGTTCAGGTGACAGGCATCCACACAGTTTATTCCAAGGTACCCTGCAAGGACAGAGCCAGCATTACCTCCACCCAGAATCCATGAGACCTTCCACGTTAAAATATCTGGAGCAACCTGTCTCCCCGAGATCTGACTTTCTCTGGTACTCGGCAGAGGGAAGAGACAGGCTGCCACAGAGTCCCCAAAAACACAGCGTTAGGCGGGTTAGACTCGGTGAATGCAGAGAGGAAGGCCTTCCCGGCTGTGAGAGCCTTGGAACACGGGGCCCAGGCCGCCCCAGGACACATGGGGAATGGCCACCAGCAGATGACTTCAGCACCTCAAATCTCAGAGGCCACCCTGAAGGGAGGATTTCCTTAACGTGTACTTTTCACTCATTCATTCATTCATTCATTCATTCATTCATTCAGACACAGTCTTGCTCTGTTGCCCAGGCCGAAGTGCAGTGGCATGATCTCAGCTCACTGCAACCTTTGCCTAACAGGCTCAAGTGATCCTCCCACCTCAGTCTCCCACGTAGCTGGGACCACAGGTGCATGCCACCATGCCGGGCGAACTTTTTTTTTTTTTGGGTAGAGATGGGGTTTCACCATGTTGCCTGACTGGTCCTGAACTCCTGGCCTCAAGTGACCCACCCACCCTGGCCCCCCAATGTGCTGGGATTACAGGTGTGATCCACTGCGCCCAGCCTTACTTTTCATCATTTCTTTGCTGATCACCCCATGTGCTGAGGAGAGCACCTGGGGCACTCTGTGCCTCAAGTAAGGAAGCGGCTCAGAGTCTCTCTCTAGATGGGGCCTACTTGTTATAAAGCTCAGCGCTCCACAGAACCACAGGAACTCGGCTGGGGACACCAACGTCCAAACTGAGCCCCCCTCCTGTGTTTCAGTCATGAGAGGCCTCCTTGTCACTGAAGGGCCCCAGGAGGGCGGTCCCACCTTTGTCACAGATGCAGCTGTAGTCCTCCCAGGTGTCATGGCAGCGGCTGTGGGGGGGACAGGGGCTCGAGGTACAGGGGTCCTCCACATCACAGCCGTCCTTCACCCTGACCTTGAGCGCATTGTTCATGTTCAGGGTGGCGACGTTGGTGGGCGTCCCCCCCATCCTCACTCCCTGCATTAAGGAAAGGGCATTGGGGCTGCAGGAGCCCGGAAAGGTAAGTAGGGGTTAAGGGAACCCTGAGACCTCTCTGGTCCCTCGCGAGGCATTCATTTGTGACGCCTCATTTATCTGCAGAGCTGTGGTGGGCAGGGCTGCTCCTCCCGCCCCATGGCCTGGTGGCCGGAGTGCAGTGGAGGGCTGGGTGAGGAGCTCAGAGGGCACGCCGGCCCGATCTCCTGGGGTGCACGGTGGGAGTGTGAGGAGTGGACATCCCTGCCAAGGGGGCTGAGAGCCGAGGGGGCTGAGAGCCGAGGGGGCTGAGAGGGGGGGGGGGGGGGGGGGGGGGGGGGGGGGGGGGGGGGGGGGGGGGGGGGGGGGGCTGAGAGCCGAGGGGGCTGAGAGCTGAGCGGGCTGAGAGCTGAGCGACTCTGAGAGCCGAGGGGGCTGAGAACCGAGGGGGCTGAGAACCGAGGGGGCTGAGAGCCGAGGGGGCTGAGAGCCAAGGGGGCTGAGAGCTGAGCGACTCTGAGAGCAGTTCCCTCGGCTGTAGCTGGAACCCCTGGCTCCAGGGAACAGGCACGGGGCCTACTTGGGTGACGTCTGTGGTTGGACTGGGTGGGGGCGGCAGCAAGGGGCTCAATTCAGGATGCTTCACAAAGGCAGGGGGCAAGTGGCTGGCATGGCAGTGGGGAGCTGTGGGGGCCAGGGACGGCCAGGATGCCAAGGGGAACCGCGGGGAAGGATGGGTCTAAAGAGGAAACAGGAGCTGTTAAAGTGGGGATGTCTATCAGACAAATTCTTCACTCACTGAAAGCTAACAGGGTGACCAACGGCACCAACGGTGGTGCTGGCAGCCTCGGAGCCGCCTGTGAGGGACAGGCCCCCCCCACTCCACCGCCACCGCCCCCACCTACCTGCATGCAGCCTCGGAATCCACGGCGCACGGAGACCTTGTCTTCAGAGGCGCCCCCGACCACCACGCTCCTGATTGTCAGCCCGGGAAGCATGCCCCCGATATCTGCCCTGTTCTGTGTGGAGAGAGGGGTGGAGCTCTGGGGGCAGAGTCCACCATCCTAGAAACGTCTTCCAGCCTGAAGAATGTGCTGGAAGCCTAAACAGTCGCTTCAACAAGCTCCCCAGAGCCTGAGGACATCTGGGCCTCCAAAGAGAGAGCTGGGCCCAGCTGGACAGCGTGGCTGGCTGTGATGATAAGGGTGAGGGGACCAGGCCAGAGGATGGGTGTCCATGTCCCAGCCTAGCCGAAGCGGCCAGTGGGGTCAACGTGGGCAACCATCCCGCCTCTGTCAAGGGCACAACGCTAAACCAGCCCTGCTGTGACAGAGTTTGGCGAATCAGGAAGACGGCAGCGAACGGAAATTCGTTCACCCATTAACACTGTGGGAACCCAAGAGGGTCTTGGCTGAGATCCAATCCCAGAAAAGCAGGTGCCTGGAACACACCTATTTACTCCCAGGTCTGTGTTGTAAGATGAGCCTTGGCTCCAAGAGCTCTTGGAAATCCCAGGTAGCCCCTTAAGTGTGTGGGCATTTCACAGACAACATCTTGAGTTACCCGCCTGCAAACTGTGGAAAGCCAGTTTGGTTCGGTAAGTATTCTGAACAATGTCTGGGATGACGCCATCTGCCTGCTAGGACAGGCGTGGCTCCCTGGTGTCTCACAGGCCTGTCCAGGGCCTGGGTCTCACTGCTTTCCCAGTTTTGCTCCCCATCCATGCTCTGAGGGCAGGGGCCCTGGCACTGCTACTTCAGTACCCTAAAGACACGGTGCTGAGCCTGCAGGCGCAAGTTGCTCAACATGGCTTTGCTAAAAGAAACCACTGCTGAAGGCACCAACAGCATCATGTTGAGAAATGCAGCTGGAGGAAGTCAGCTGCTGACTGCCGGGGGCGGGGCATCTGGGTAAAGGAGGTGAGGAAGATGCCAGTGACCTCGGCATCTTCAGAAGCCCACTTGCGGGGGCCCAGAAAGTGCCTCCCCAAATCCACAAGGTCTCTGGCGGGTCCTGGCCCATCAAGGGGTCATTCTGTTTTTCCCTGGGCCAGAGGGTCCATCCCCAGAGGAGGTGCAGGTACCAGCTCACCTGGTCCATCCCATAATCCAAAGTCATGGTGACCAGGTGCTTCATCTCACTGTCCTCCTTAACATTCTTCAGCTCGATGAGCAGGTGGTGCCACTCCCCGTCGGTCACCCGCAACCTGGACAGCATCACGGACTCCACATCGGAGGGGCCATGGGACACCTCAAACTGGAGGTAGTTGTTCAGGATCTGGAGCAGGGAGAGCCACACCAACTGATTGGTACAATGACAATGAAAGAGACAACGCTTTGCAGTCACTTAAACAAGGAAGCTGTGAAGGGGGACTGATGCTGTGGTACCAGATACAAGATGGGTTTAAAAAGTAGGCAAAGTTGGCCGGGTGCGGTGGCTCAGGCCTGTAATCTCAGCACTCTGGGAGGCTGAGGCGGGTGGATCACCTGAAGTCAAAAGTTTGTGACCAGCTTGGCCAACATGGTGAAACCCCATCTTTACTAAAAATACAGAAATTAGCTAGGTGTGGTGGCGGGTGCCTGTAATCCTAGCTACTCAGAGGCTGAGGCAGGAGAACTGCTTGAATCCAGGAGGTGGAGGTTGCAGTGAGCTGAGATTGTGTCATTGCACTCCAGCCTGGGTGACAGAATGAGACTTGGTATCAAGAAAAAAAAAAAAGGCAAAGTTGGCTGTCTGTGGTGGCTCCGGCCTTTAATCCCAGCACTTTGGGAGACCACAGCAGGTGAATCACCTGAGATGAGGAGTTCAAGACCAGCCTAGCCAACATGGTGACACCCTGTCTCTACTAAAAATACTAAAATTAGCCAGGCATGCTGGCGGGCACCTGTAAGCCCAGCTACTCGGGAGGCTAAGGCAGCAGAATCGCTTGAACCTGGGAGGTAGAGGTTGCAGTGAGCTGAGATTGCACCACTGCACTCCAGCCTGGGAGACAAGAGCGAGACTCTGTCTCAAAATAATAATAATAATTAGACAAAGTTGGCTGGGTGTGGTGGCTCACACCTGTAATTTCAGCACTTTGGGAAGCCAAGGCGGGTGGATTGCTTGAGGCCAGGAGGTCAAAGAGAGCCTGGCAAATATGGCAAAACCTCGTGTCTACTAAAAATTCAAAAATTAGCCGGGCATGGTGGTGTGTTCCTGTAATCCCAGTTACTTGGGAGGCTGAGGTGGGAGGATCACTCAAGCCCAGGAGGTGGAGGTTGCAGTGAGCCACGATAGCAACTACTGTACACTTCAGTTTGGGTGACAGAGCGAGACCTTGTCTCAAAAAAAAAAAAAAAAGTAGGCAAAGTTGTTCTTTGTTGCTGCTGCCAAAACACTCATCAGAATTGCTTGTCTTATTCTATGGGAAAAAGCATCAATCGCTTCATGGAGGTCAAGTAAGCGAAGGGCCAAGACCAAGCCCCATAAGGCTTTTAAGTATTGGGAACCAGCTCGATTCAGGTAACTATTGGGCTCCTATTTTTGGATGCAAACATACTTTATAAGACAAGATTTAATCCTCTGTGTTTAATTACATGCATGAAAAAAAACAAAAATCAGCATTGCGAATGGCCTAAGATGCTCATATTGTAAAATAAGGTAGGCCAAGGACAGTGTCAAAATCTTAGTTCTCCTAAGAAAGGACTTGGCGGCCGGGCGCGGTGGCTCACGCCTGTAATCCCAGGACTTTGGGAGGCCGAGACGGGCGGATCATGAGGTCAGGAGATCGAGACCATCCTGGCTAACACAGTGAAACCCCGTCTCTACTAAAAATACAAAAAACTAGCCGGGCGTAGTGGCGGGCACCTGTAGTCCCAGCTACTTGGGAGGCTGAGGCAGGAGAATGGCGAGAACCCGGGAGGCGGAGCTTGCAGTGAGCCGAGATTGCACCACCGCACTCCAGCCTGGGCGACTGAGCAAGACTCCATCTCAAAAAAAAAAAAGAAAGGACTTGGCAATTTGGACCAACTCTCCTCTTGAAATCACCTACGAACATGAGACAAAATATTAAAGAATGTCTGTTTGAAGGCACTGAAGTGGCTCCAGGCAAAACAGAGTTTCAGGCTCATGACCAAGGAAAAGACAGAATCTGCACAACAGCGTGGTGTGTTTCCCTGCAAGGCCGGCAGCTGGTTCTGGAAGACACAGTGGAGGCTGAGCGTGCAGTCAGGTCACGGCTGCCAGGTACCTGAAACCCTTGCCCTCCTTGGCACTCTTCAGCCCGGTCAGCAGGTGATGCCGTGCCTCATCAGTCACCTGTGACCTAGAGTCTCAGGATGCCTCAAAGCTTTCTAGGTTCATGGGGCTGGAGGATTAAAAACTGGGGTTCACGGACTGCCAAGGGTTGTTCCTTGGCTTCTGGTTGGAACCCTGAGGGGTTTACACTAACAATAAAAAACGAAAAAGATCCACCCTTGCAGGACTGGAAGCCCAGCTTTGAACCATCTCAGTCTGTGACTGCATTAAAGTCTGTGACTTTGGGAGGCCGAGGCAGGTGGATCACCTGAGGTCAGGAGTTCGAGACTAGCCTGACCAACAAGGTGAAATCCCATCTCTACTGAAAATACAAAAAATTAGCTGGGTGTGGTGGCGGGCGCCTGTAGTTCCAGCTACCTGGGAGGCTGAGACAGGAGAATTGCTTGAACCCGGGAGGCGGGGGTTGCAGTGAGCAGAGATCACGCCACTGCACTCCATCCTGGGTGACGGAGCCAGACTGTGCCTCAAAAAAAAAAAAAAAAGTCTGTGACTGCATTCAAGTGCTCTGGGAGGGCAAGTGCTCCCAGTGGTTGCCAGAAGCAAACATGGAAGATAATGACATCCCCATTCTAGTTTCTCTTTTTCTTTGTGTGTTTTGTTTTTTGTTTTTGTTTGTTTTGAGACAGAGTTCCATTCTTGTTGCCCAGGCTGGAGTGCAATGGCACAATCTCAGCTCACTGTAAACTCTACCTCCCAGGTTCAAGTGAATCTCCTGCCTCAGCCTCCCGAGTAGCTGGGATTACAGGCACCCACTACCACACCCAGCTAATTTGTTTATATTTTTAGTAGAGATGGGGCTTCTCCATGTTGGTCAGGTTGGTCTCAAACTCCTGACCCCAGGTGATCTGCCTCCTTGGCCTCCCAAAGTGTTGGGATTACAGGCATGAGCCACTGCACCTGGCCCCCATTCTAGTTTCACATGCTCTCTAGTTTTAAATAAAATGTCTAGCACTCAATAAAAAGCAGCCAAGTATATGAGGATATAAGGTAATACGCTTGAAAACCAAGAGAAGCAAGGAAGAGTGGCAACAGACCACAAAATCATCAGACACAGACTCAAAAATAACACTGGGAACCACAAAACTTTCAAGCAAACAGACTCAGTGAGACCATTAGACTTACTTCTGGGTGTAGGTGTTACAGAGATAAGGGTCAAATGGCCATGTTTAAATACATGTAAGAAGAATCAGAAAACAAGGTTGTAACTAAGATGCTCATACTTAAAGATAACTGAAAAAAAAAATAGCCTAGATTTTAGAAAAACAACTATTAGCACACTGCTTATATTCTACCTGAAATATAAGGATACAGAAAATGTTGACAGTAAAAGGATAGAAGAAAATACATCATATAAATACCAACCAAAAGAAAAATGGTATAGCTATGTTAATATGAGCCAAAGTAGATTTAAGGCAGAAATCCTTACTACAGAAGAAAGAGGAATTTCATAATGATAACCGAGTCAATTTGATTTGAAGATAAATCAACTCTAAATTTGTAGGCACCTAAGAACCTGGCCTCAAAATCTATATAGTAAAAATCAAGATTACTAAGAGAAGTAATAGACAAATCTACAGTCAAGGTAGGAGACCTGTAACTAACTTCTCTCAATAAGTGAGAAGACAAAGACAAAAAAAAAATTAAAACCAATAATGATAAAGAATATTTGAATACCACAGTCAACAAACTTTACCTACTTGATATATACAGAATATTATGGATAACAACTGCAGAGCATATAGTGGTATGTGTACAAAACTGGCTAGAGGCCGGGCACGGTGGCTCCAGACTCTAATCCCAACACTTTGGGAGGCTGAGGCGGACAGATCACCTGAGGTCAGGGGATCGAGACCAGCATGGCCTACATGGTGAAACCCCGTCTCTACTAAAAATACAAAAATTATCTGGATGTGGTGGCAGGCATCTATAATTCCAGCTATTCAGGAGGTTGAGGCAGGAGAATCACTTGAACCTGGGAGGTGGAGGCTGCAGTGAGCTGAGATTGCACCATTGCACTCCAGCCTGGTGACAGAATGAAACTCCGCCTCGAAAAGAAAAAAAAAAATGACTAGATCTGGGCTGTAAACCACATTTCGAAGTTCTGAAACCACATGGTATAAGTTCTTTGACCTGCAATTACGCTAAAAACAATACCAAAATGATTTACTAGAAAATGCTACATGAGGCTGGGCACGGTGGCTCATGCCTGAAGTACCAGCACTTTGGCAGATCGAGGCAGGTAGATCACCTGAGGTCAGGAGTTGGAGACCAGCCTGGCCAATATGGTGAAAACCTGTCTCTACTAAAAATAAAAAAATTAGCCGGGCGTGGTGATGGGGCTAATGGGGCACACACCTGTAATCCCAGCTACTCGGGAGGCCGAGGTAGGAGAATCACTTGAAACTGGGAGGCAGAGGTTGCAGTGAGCAAAGATCACACTACTGCACTCCAGCCTGAGAGACAGAGCGAGACTCCAACTCAAAAGAAAAAAGAAAATGCTACATGCTTGCTAACCTAGAAATCTACTTCTAAATATCACATCAGTCTAAGATAAATTCATGAGAGAAAACAGGATACAGGTTTTAACCAGTTGTAAAGGTTATGTAACTAAAACTGTATTTCAATTTTTGGTCTCTATCGATAGTTTGGGGGTTTTTTGTTTGGGGGAGGACACAAAAAAAAACATTAGCCGCACACCTGGCTACTTTTTGTATTTTTAGTATAAACGAGGTTTCTCCATGATGGCCAAGCTGGTCTTGAACTCCCGACCTCAGGTGATCCACCTGCCTTGGCCTCCCAAAGTAGTGGGATTACATCCAAGAGCCACTGTACCTGGTCTGATAGTTATTTTAAGAAGATAACTTTTCACCTTTTTCTATTTTTTTTTTTTTTTTGAGACAGAGTTTCGCTCTCATCGCCCAGGCTGGAGTGCCGTGGCTCAATCGTGGCTCAATCTTGGCTCACTGCAACCTCTGCCTCCCGGGTTCAAGTGATTCTCCTGCTTCAGCCTCCCAAGTAGCTGGGACTACAGGTATGCACCACCACGCCCAGCTAATTTTTGTATTTTTAGTAGAGACAGGGTTTCCCCATGTTGGCCGGGCTGGTCTCGAATTCCTGACCTCAGGTGATCCACCCGCCTCGGCCTCCCAAAGTGCTGGGATTACAGGCGTGAGCCACCACGTCTGGCGTCCATTTTGTTTTCTTTTGTTCTACAGAAGTTAGCTTATTAATTTCCTTTGCCATTCTCTTGCATTGTTCTTGCTTTAAAAACTCCAAAGTGAGCAGACCAGCGATAAAAGTGGCGTTATGTCTACAAACAAAAGTGATATCCACAGAATGAACCTGTTTCACGGGTGATAACTGCCTCCTCTCTTAGGCGTGTCCCCAGCTCTCGGTCCGAGAGGCATTCAGCAATTACAAGGTTAACCCACCTGACAAGGTGGGTGGATTCTGGGTGCCCGAGAGCAATTATCCAAATTGCTTGGGCTGTGGGATGACAATGGAGTCTTACTTGTCCCACACCACAGTGGCAGGGGAGCAGGGCACATCCTTGGAGGAACACCCAAACCGCTGCTTTACAGACTCACAGGCCCACAGGAGGCCTGCAAGCTGATGGTGGCAAGGAGAAATCCTCCAGAACCTTCGGTAACACGCGGCTGACCGGCCTCTGGGAGCTGCCCTGTGGGCCTTCTAGGTGCCCACTGGGGTCTGTAACATCCTTCCAGCCACCCAGACTTCCACAGGGAGGGCTGGCTGTAGTCCCTGGCAAAACTCCGATTTTTGGATGAGCTCTCCATGATGTAATTACGCAAACAGCACAGAGTCTGTGGCTTCCAGTGCCGTTCCTACTGAAAGCGCATGTTTTTCCGACAGAGACCCCACTGCCAAATGACAACTTGGAAGCTCCAATTCATCACCTGCATCCAAACAGCCAATTTAATTTGTTCTGACAGTGAACCCACCACATAGAAAATACCATCCCCGGGCAGCACTGCGCTTGCCAAGTTTTGGCCTGAAGGAAGCTTCTGGGGCTGCCTGGGAGACTCATGAAATGACAAGTTTAACAAGAGCCCACAGGCCAGCTATAATCATCCCTGGTGCAGGCCGCACCTTCCAGGCAATCCGAGCGGTCTGTGCTGGAAAATGCTCCCGAGCTGTGACCAGGAGGAACAGGAGGCTCCCTGTCCAGACCTGAGCCCCTGCCCCAGCCCCGACCTGTCTCCTGAGCCCTCACTGATCTGCCGAGGGACTGACCTCCACCAGCCTGCCGGGAGCACTCTCGGTCCTGCCTCCGCCACCCTCCAACCAGGCACTTACGGCAGCGAGGGCATGTGCCAGGCAGCCCCTCTGTCTCCCCACCAACCCTCATGCCAATCTTGGCTATACAGAACCGTTTCTAGATGGGCTGCCCATAGGGGTGACAGAGAGGGGCCTGTGGCCGTCCCAGGAACCTGGGCAGTGAAAGAACCATGGGGTCCAGAGTGAAGAGCCTCTACGCCTCAGTTTCCCCTGTGTGGAACGAGAGCTTGGAGCAGGCACTCCATAAAATCCATCTCACCTCTCACCATCTGACCCCAGCCCAGCCTCCCCTGATGGGGGATGGCGTCCAGGACACACTGGGCAGCATAAGAAGGCCCAGAGTCCAGAGGAGGAAAGGCAACAAGGCATGGCTCCGCACGGCACACAGCTGACAGCAGAGGACACGCAGCTGGCGCAGACCCCACTTTGGGAGGCACTTCCTGACCGCAGGAGCCTGGGGGGGGGTCATCCTGGGAGGACAGGGTGAGTGTTCCCATGTCGCCAACCCCAAGGCAGGAGAGGAGGCTAACCCAAGGGCAGAGTCTCTGTGCGCTGAAGGGAGGGCAGGAGGGCGCCCCAGGCTCACTCTGGTCAGAGATAATGAACAACCAGAAGGAAGTCAGTGCTGCTCTGAGACCGTGTGCACCCAGGTCTCATCACATGCAGGCACATGCATACATATATAGCCACATGCACTGAGACATGCACAAATGTACATGCATAGAGAGACGCACATATAGATGCGCACACATGCACATACACACTGACACGCACACACACACTTGCACAGAGATACGCGCACACACATGTATACAAACTTGGAAAAAAAGCCTAGGAGTCACGCCTGTAATCTCAGCACTTTAGGAGGCTGAGGTGGGTGGATCACCTGAGGTCAGGAGTTCGAGACCAGCCTGAGCAACATGGCAAAACCCCATCTCTACTAAAAACACAACAAATTTAGCCGGGTGTGGTGGTAAGCTCCTGTAATCCCAGCTACTGTGGAGGCTGAGGCAGGAGAATCGCTTGAACCTGGGAGGCAGAAGTTGCAGTGAGCCGACGTTGCACCACTGCACTCCAGCCTGGGCAACAAGAGCAAAACTCCATCTCAAAAACAAAAAACAAAAAACCTAGGAAGAAGGAAAGAATAACCCAGTTACGAATCTGTCAAATCAAGACAGAGTGCCCTGCTCAGGCCCGACTCCCATGGGCCACTCCCGTGCCAGGGTATGAGAATTAGGTCTAAGGAGAGACATAAAGGGAGCTTTTTAGGAGGCAGAATTGCCCAGTGAGTTTTCAGAGCTAGACCCTGATCAGAAAGGGTCACAGCAGCTGGAGAGCGCCCGTGCCCCGCCATCACTACAGACGGGAATGACCTTGAGATGCACAGGCAGAAGGGCGAGAGGGCAAGCCGAGGGCCAGGCGCCCTCCTGGAGAGGGTCCCCGGGGCTGCCTCACACGATGGAGTCTCCAGGGTGTGGCAAAAGGGCAGCGCGATGAGAGAAGACAGGGCTCATAACTGTTTCCCAAACAAAATGTCTACGGAGCATGGAAGATGCGAGCGGAAACTGTGTAGCGCAGGAAACCAGAGGAAAGAGTGCATTCCAATCACCTTCTAAAAGCTGTTCAGAATTTTTATCTAACAAATAAACTTCTGTTTCAAACAAACAAAACAGTAAAGACCAACAAGACAGAGAAAACATGCAGACAGCGACCACGCCGGGCTTTAGGCATCTCCGGGCTGAGCCAAGCTCCGGGAGACGGTGGACATGCATTGGTGCCAACCACCTCCTGGCCGCAGCTCTTTTTTTTCTTTTTGAGATGGAGTCTCAGTCTTGTCACCCAGGCTGGAGTGCAGTGGCACGTCCTCTGGTCACTACAACCTCCGCCTCCCAGATTCAAGCGATTCCCCTGCCTCAGCCTCCGGGGTAGTTTTCAGTTAGACCCTGATCAAAAAGCACCCACCAGCATGCCTGGCTAATTTTTTTGTAGTTTTAGTAGAGACGGGGTTTCACCATGTTGGCCAGGCTGGTCTTGAACTCCTGACCTCAGGTGATCCTCCTGCTTCGGCCTCCCAAAGTGTTGGGATTACAGGCATGAGCCACCACCCCGGCCTGCACCTGGCTGCCACTTTAACTGGTGAGGCCCATTGTTTCCGCCTGAAGGTTCGGCACCTCCCTCAGCTCTGCAGTGCCCACGCTCCAGCCAAACCCTCAGGCTAGAGGGAGACCAGAGCTGCCACGCACCTCATCTGAGCTCTGCTGGGCCCTGAGGTTGGTCCAGTCCCATTCTCACTCACTCCATCTCCGCCTCCCGGAGGAAAGAAAGAGCTCATACTCCCCCTCCTCTTCAGAGAACCCCAGGGGTGGGCGCCAGAGGAAGGGCGAGCAGCAAGTGCCCCAGTGTGCACCAGGAAGCCCAGCGCCTGGGTCCCTCCCTCGGGCACCCACCTAGCAGATGCCTCGTGGCACGGGGCCCCAGTCACCTGGAGGCGAAAGCTGGTGGGCCCGCCGCTGGTGGCCTCCATCAGAACGCTGTCCTCCTTCCGGGTCCGGAACATGAGCCCCAGGTACCAGGGCACAGAGATGATGACGTTCAGGTCACTCCAGGACACGACACTCTCACCGCTGAAGAGCTGGGGGTGGGGCATGGCTGCGGACACAGGCCCGGGGACCTCAGGTGTCTCCTGAAATCACGCGGCCGCAGACTCTTGGCTGCATGGGTGGGGGATGGGCCTGCAGGATGGGCCTGGACCTTTTTCACTTTAACACGAAGGCTGGTCTGAGCCTCCCCTCTATGATGCATCCAGCCCTCGCAGTCAGCCACGTGGGCTCCACAGAAGCCAACCCTGGGACATAAACCTCCCTCCTGGGAAGCATGAAGACCTACAGACTCCCAGCCGCAGATGGGCGCGGCAAGGGGCTCTCAGGCTTGACAGGAGGCAGATGGGGGCGGGTTCAGGATCCCTGGGCTCAGTGGCTGGGGGTGCTAGGGTTGGGCCCTGCTGGCCCAGCCTACCTGTCCCACCCCACACCTGAGGGACTGGGGACGGGGTCTGTGCAGGGGACAGTCTCTTGGAGAGGGCAGTGAGTCCACAGTAAACGCAGCATACGCTGCCAGTGGTTGCCGGAGCCGGACGTGAAACCCCCTCACAGTGGTCCCGGGCACATCAAGGAGCAATGCTTCCCAGGCCTCCACGACCGGGGGGATGGACGATGCCAGCCACTCACCTTGCTCGCAGTTCTTCCCGCCAAATCGGAGCGGACACTCACACAGATACATGTTCCACCTGTTGACACAGGTGCCCCCATTCTGACAGCGCCTCCCATCGCAGAAGTTCCTCCGAGCGGCACAGCCTGGCAACACAGAGCGTGCGGCAGGGCCTGACTCGAGGAACTGCCAGGGGTCCCCGGTGCCAGACGTGGTGTGGGAAACCACGATGGAATGGACACGGGGCTGGACAGAAGTCAGACTAGGTCTGAACATCCCTGGCAACGGCAGGAACATGGGAACTGAGAAGGTGCTGAACGCACTGACCACGTTTGGAGACGCGAGGGCTCCAGGCCATCACGGCAGCTGGCCCGGTCACCTGGTGACACATGCAAGACCCTAGGATCATGTGTGCCTCAGGTTAGCTGGCTGGGCCAGCAGAGCCAAGGCAACTCCAAACTGCAGAAACTGCGGAGCTGCACATCTGGCAAGCCTGGACTCCGGGTTCCATCCCAGGAGCTTCCCACAGCTGGACACAGACATTTCTAAGAAAAAGACGGCTCCCCAGGGATCTGCAAGCAGTGACCTCTGTGTGGCTGCCGACATGCAGCCAGATGCCTCTGTGGTGGCCCCAATGCCCTGATGGCCACCCGTACCTTCCCTGGTGCCATTGTTGGCGATGAATCCAGCCATGTCCACATTTTTGCCGTCAACTGACAGGTTCCGCATGCAGCCCACAAACTGCCGGTTGTGCACTGGGAAGTCTTCTGGTAGGTTGGGGACGCCACCCAGGAGCAGAGGACCGGTCAGATCCAGGGACCTGGGGAGGTAAACCATCTTCTGTGATGTCCGGGCAGCGGCGCCACAGCGGGCTGGGCTCTGCAGTTGCCTCTGTGTAGCCTCTGCCACCATAACTACTTCAGAAACCAAGCAGGCAGGAGGGCAGAGGCCAGAATCAGAGGGGGCTCCTGTGTCTGGTGCTGTGTTTGCTCACGCTTGCGTTCCGTCCTGACGATCTGGGTGTTTCACACTCACCAGTGACCACCAAGCCCCGCCCACCCAGGTTGGTCCACACCTAGACAAGATGTGAGCGCAGGGAGCACAGGTCAAGGCCAGCAGGGACTACACTTTACTTTGGCCTCTGAGACCTTCCAGGAAAAGGAAGGGACTTGAAGGGAGGCCAGAAGAAAATGAGAACCCTGGCTGGGCGTGGTGGCTCACACCTGTAATTCCAGCACTTTGGGAGGCTGAAGTGGGCAGATCACGAGGTCAAGAGATCAATACCATCCTGGCCAACAGGATGGTCTCTACTAAAAATACAAAAATTAGCTGGGCGTGGTGGCGCATGCCTGTTAGCCCCAGCTACTCGGGAGGCTGAGGCAGGAGAATCGCTTGAACCCGGGAGGTGGAGGTTGCAGTGAGCCAAGATCACGCCACTGTACTCCAGCCTGGCGACAGTGAGACTCCGTTTCAAAAAAAAGAAAATGAGAACCCTGGAGGCACCCCAGAGGCGGTGCAAACTCAGGCAAGGGCTGTGACCTCTCCAGTGCACAGTTTGCTTCCCAGCAAAAGAGCACCATCCCGCCTCCATCCCAGGCAGGCGGGATCAGACAGAACAGAACAGAACAGGTAAGGGATTGCCCGCGGGCCCCCATCAGGATGCATCAGGGCTATCTATATGATCTTCAAAAAAGGATGTATCAGGCCGGGCGCGGTGGCGGGCGCCTGTAGTCCCAGCTACTCAGGAGGCTGAGGCAGGAGAATGGCGTGAACCCGGGGGGCGGAGCTTGCAGTGAGCCGAGATTGCACCCCTGTACTCCAGCCTCAGCAACAGGGCGAGACTCCGTCTCAAAAAAAAAAAAAAAAAGGATGTATTAGGGCTATCTATATGATCTTGAAAACAGTGATTCGTTATTCTGTGGTTATTTAGTGGTTTGTTCATGTAATCCCAGCACTTCAGGAGGCCAGGGTCAGAGAACCGCTTGAGCCCAGGAGTTCAAGACCAGCCTGGGCAACACAGGGAGACCTCGTCTCTATAAAAAATTTAAAAAGTTAGCTGGGTGTGGTGGTGTGTGCCTGTGGTCCCAGCTACTCGGGAGGCTGTGGCAGGAGGATGGTTTGAGCCCAGAAGGTCAAGGCTTCAGTGAGCTAGGATTGTGCCACTGCACTCCAGCCTGGGCAACAGAGTGAGACCGCATGTCAGAAAAAAATAAAACGACAAAAAAAAAGTAAGCCTCTGGGACCAGCTGGCTGACACAGTGCTCCACTTAACAGACTCCTGGAGTCCCAGGTGCCAGAATTTGCAGGGACAAAGCCAGTGATCCGTGGAGACAGGGCCAGAGACTGTCTCTGGGTCTGTAAGCTGGCTATCACAACCCGGGGGTCAGCCTGGCCAATCTTGACACATACTTAGGGAGACTTATTCTAGAAGGTTCTAACATGTCAGAGGGAAGGTGCTCCAACCATGCAGAGGGAGTCTGACTCCAGCCTGGACTGAGGTCGCCAGGGTACTGCACCCAGAGTGCCTGCATGGGGCCCTGCTCTGGGAAGGCTGCAGGGTGAGCATGTTTGGGGGTGCGGACCCCCAGGGCCGCCCCTCCTGGGATGCTCACTTCTTGGAGCCGGTCTGAGTGCCCTGGGCAGCACAGCTGTAGTTCCCGATGTCCTTTCCAAAGCGCACAGCCATGGTTGTGTCACAATCATCCACCGTCACCACGGCCATCTTCTCCCCGGATGGCCCGTGGGGCAGGCCCAGGTGGCCGATGTTGGGCTGTAAGAAGAGAAAGCACAGAGAGCATCAGCACTTTCCCCGCCAGGGCCCTCAGCAGGCGTACCTGTCACTCATAGAGCGGGGAGGACACAGCACTGGGTGGGCAGCAGGTGGACAAGGGATGAGGAGCCCCTGGCCTTTAGTTTCCTAAACTAGCTGTGCTGGGCTGCTTGGTGTCCTCTCAAGTTCTGCTTCGCAGAATCTCAGAATGTGGCCTGGTCTGGACAAAGAGCTGGTGCCGATGGAATTAACTAAGATGCAGACGTCCTGGAGTAGGCAGGCCCTGATCCAAGATGACTGGTGTCCTCTTAAGAGGACAGATGCTGAGACGCAAAGGCACGCAGGGGAGAAGCCGCGTGACTGTGGAGGCAGCTGCTGGAGCAGCTGTTTATAAGCCAAGGGCCACCTGGATCACCAACACCTAGGACAAGGCAGGAAGGGTCCTCCCCTTGAGCCTTCGGAGGAGGCACAGCCCTGCCCACACCTTGACTTCTAAGCGCCAGACTGAGAGAGAATCGTGTCTGTTGTTTGAGCCACCCTATCCATGGTACTTTGTGACGGTGGCCCCAGAAAATGAAGACAGCAGCCAACACCCAAGCCCCGGGGCCCCTCCTGTGAACACCCGCTTCTGCTCTTCTGGGGGTGTCCTCTTGACCATGGCGCCTGGCCAGGCTCATGCTCCTGGAGTACAGATACCAGGAGGCTGCTGCCCGGCCCGCAGACGGCCCCACATCTCCCCTCTAAGGCGTGGAGCTCCCTCTCTGGGCCAGAAGCACGTTCCAGGGCTGGGTACAAGAGTTCTTCTGAATCAGTGACCTCAGGTGAAACCTCTCCCTTCTCGAAGAGACTGTGGTTCGCCATCTGGGGACGAGCCCACTTTCCCCAGGCAGCCCTCACAGGTCTCACCTCCTGGTCAGCCCCTCCCAGGACATGGAGCATATCCACCCAGCCAGCTCAGACGCCCTTCCAGGAGGAAAAGCAGCACCAGCCCTGCACGATCCATGCGGCCACGGATGGATCTCAAAGATCTCACGTGGGTCTCAAAGTTCCAGAAACCCAGTTGGTGCCAGCTCCAACCGGAACAGGCAACAGAATGTCCTTCATCTGCGCAACCTGGATAGCAAGACCTACATCCCGCGGGTGGCCGTGACGATGAGCCAGGAGATCGCCAGGGAAGCACCACCATGCCCCGCAATCGGCACACAATGCGCAGCAGAGCCTCCCCCTCCACCCCAGAGAGAACCTTTTCTTCCAGTCGCAGCAGGGCCCCTCCCACCACCCCTCTAAAGGATGGGTTCAGTGCCTCCTCTTGATAGTTCTGGGGTCAGTTTGAGTTTACAGCATGATACAATCTCATGCTTCTTTATAAAACTTGGAAATAGATCGTTGTAAAAACGTGGAATTTAATTAAATCATCCTCAGTGCCTTTTAATAGGAAAATCACCACCACATAGTTCATTCAAAAATAAATCTTCAGTTTTTAATAGGAACAAAGTATCTATTTGATCAGGGAAACTAGGCAGAAAGGCAGGACACACAGAACTGGAAACAGGAGCTCAGCCAGATGGCCAAGTTGCAGGACTTCAGGGGACCCTGGACACCCAGGCAGCACGCACCCTGCCTGGAGTTGTGCAGTGGGCAGCCTGCACGACTGTATGTGGCCACCCCAGCTGAGGTTTCTACTCCCTCTTATCCAATCATCTAAGGCAGATGAGACCCATCACCGTACCTCAATTTCTTTTTGTGCAAGATAATGATTTACTATTAGAACACACATCCTGTCTGTGTTACAGGGAATTGAGGGTGATAGCAACAGAGATACACGAGTTTCCCACACACCCTTCTCTGTCAATCCAAGCGAGGCTTCTACCATGACCCCTGGTATTTGAGTGCAGGGGTCACCTTTTTCTTTTTTTTCCTCTTTTTTTTTTTTTTGAGACGGAGTCTTGCTCAGTCGCCCAGGCTGGAGTGCAGTGGAGCGATCTCGGCTCACTGCAAGCTCCGCCTCCCGGGTTCACGCCATTCTCCTGCCTCAGCCTCCCAAGTAGCTGGGACTACAGGCACCCGCCACTACGCCCGGCTTTTTTTTTTTTTTTTTTTTTTTTTGTATTTTTAGTAGAGACGGGGTTTCACTGTGTTAGCCAGGATGGTCTCGATCTCCTGACCTTGTGATCCGCCCGTCTCAGCCTCCCAAAGTGCTGGGATTACAGGCGTGAGCCACCGCACCCGGCCGGATCACCTTTTTCATTTTTCTTTTACATCAGCTGATGAAATCACAAGGTCTGATAAGCTGTCTCCTTAAAGATTTCACTTTTGGTTAAGTAACAGATAGGTGAGTGCATTAAAAATCATCTGTTTTCTCACTCTGTAACTCGGCCCACTTTGAAAATGCGTGGAAGTGTCCATTATGGGATGCCTAAATGTGAGGTGCGGTCCCAGGGAAAGAAGAACCTCCCCCACTGTGTGAGCCCCAAATTATCTTTACAACTTATAATTTACATTTTTGGGGCTGGGCGTGAGACTTCTGGAGGAAGGGCGTAAGTAGCATTTACACTGGGAAGGCTTTCATGAAACTAAGCTGCTGTTTACAAAACTGCAGTTGTTGTAAACTGCTGCTAGTAATCAACGGCTCAGAGCTACGCATTCAAGCAAAAACAGCAGGATAAAGAAAGTTGGAGGCAAAAGACAAAACCACTACAGTCCATGCTTGTTTTTCGAGTGGCACGGACTCATGTGAGACGCCCACTGCTAGGACACCCGAGTTCAGTCTGGCCTTCGTGAATCAGAGCAGCAGGCAGAGGGCGTTTAGGAAATGGTCTCTGATAGACAGCACCCAGCATGTGCTGCTCGGTTCTGACTCCCAGAGAGACCCACCAGCAGCCACTGGGTCAAAAGTAACAGCAGTTTTGATGAAAGAGCCGAATGTTCTCAGGTGGAGACTGGAACAACCAGCAGGAGGGCTGCACAGAGGAGCGGGGGGACTTGTGGGGTCTGAGGTCCCCGCTGCTCGGAGAAGCAATCACAGACTCCCGATGGCCCATCCCTCTCCTGCCGCCCCAGGATAGGTGCTGAGTGGGGCCCTGGTTTAAGATGCCCGCCTCTCAGTGAGTGTGGGTTTAACGCGCAGGCTGACCGTCCACTCTCCCGCCTCTCGGTGAGTGTGGGTTTAAAGCGCAGGCTGACCGTCCACTCTCCCGCCTCTCGGTGAGTGTGGGTTTAATGCGCAGGCTGACCGTCCACTCTCCCGCCTCTCGGTGAGTGTGGGTTTAACGCGCAGTCTGACCGTCCACTCTGCAGTTGAGGCCAGCAAGTGATGGGGCGGCAGGGAGTGCATGGACACGGTGCTGTGGGTGACTTGAGATGCACGGGCGGGCTTCCCCAAAGCATTGAACGCAGAACTACTACATGACCCAGCACCACCTCCCCAGGCGTATACCCAACAGAACTGCAAACAGGAACTCAAAAAACCAGTTCATGAGTGTTGATGGCGTTGCTATTTACAATTCAGAAAAAGTGGAAACCACCTAGATGTCCATCAGTAGATGAGTGGACAAACTGTGCCCCTTCCCTGCACCGGAATCCCAGCCACCGAAAGGTACAAAGTGCTGACACACGACGGCACAGGGGTCCCGGAACACATCGCACTCGGTGAAAGCAGCCAGACACGAAAGCCCACACACCATGCAACTCCATTTCTACACAATGTCCAGGACAGGCACATCCACAGACACAGAGCAGACAGGTATTACCAGGGGCTCGGGGAGGAGGATGGGGAGGTGACTGCTAATGGTATGGGGTGATGAAAATACTTCTTTTGAGGTGGCATCTCGCTCTGTTGCTCAGGTTGGAGTGCCATGGCGAGATCTCAGCTCACTGCAACCTCCGCCTCCCAGGTTCAAACAATTCTCCCGCCTTAGCCTCCCAAGTAACTGGGACTACAGGTGTGCACCACCACACCCGGCTAATTTTTGAATTTTTAGTAGAGACGGGGTTTTCCCATGTTGGCCAGGCTGGTCTCGAACTCCTGACCTCAAGTGATCCACCCGCCTCGGCCTCCCAAAGTGCTGGGATTACAGGTGTGAGTCACCGCACCCAGCCTGGGTGATGAAAATATTTTATTATTTTTTTAAAAGTTACTATTGGTCAATTGATGGCATGAAAATAATTTAGACCTCAATAGAGGCGGTATGGCACAATACTGTGAATATACTAAATGCCACTTTAAAACTTAATTTTATGCTATGTGAACTTCACCTCAATAAGGCAAAAAAAAAAAAAAAAAAAAAAAATTCCTAGGTTTGCATCCTCCCCTCCCCAGCCACCTGCCACTCTCCACCTGAAGAACTTTTGGGAAGATCCTTCCAATTTTTCCCTCTGACATGGAGAGAAAATGCATTATTTGACCTTCCTGCCAGGCGGCTACGAGTGTTAAAACGCAGAGAGGTGAACATTCTCCGGGAGGGGTGGAGAGGTGCGCAGACAATTACACAGGCGGCTTGAATGGGGATAGGTGAAGACAACAGCAGGTGTGTGTGGGCTCAGGTCCTCCATTTTTGTCAAAGGGAGACAAAGCGCGTCTCCGCTGAAAGGCTGGCGTGGAGCACGAGGCGGCAGCACAGAAGAGAATACCTGGTGGTAATAGCTCCAGAATGTGGGGTGGTGCGTCCGCCTCTGAGTTTTACACGGAGAAAGCGGCTCAAGCAGCTTCCGCAGGGCACTGGCGTGGCAGCATCTGGCCAGGAAAAGCACTCAGTGGCTTGGCTGGGTCGCAGCCGATGATGAATGATACGGGTCGGGGAGATAAGGAATAAGACAGACGAACCGCCCCCTCACATTTCTAAGAGGAATTTTTTAAGTCTGCCACATATTTATACAAAAGAAAAAGACAGTGTGGGAATGAAGAGGGCCACATGGTCGTATCTGAGTTTTTTCTCAATTCTTGTGTTGGAAGGCTCCGGGCACAGGATAGGCCAAGGCCAGCACGGTGGAGGCACCAGCGC